TGCAAGAACTGGGGTGCAGGCCAGAGATGCAGGGAGTAAAAGGATTCACCAGAGACAGATGGGGAACAGAACAGGCAGACTGACTGCAGTACACTGCTGAGGGGAGCAGCAGGCGAGCCAGGAGAGGTCTGCTGTGCCATGTAGGTAGCCCCCTGGCTGGGGATCTAACTTGTGCTGCAGTGGCTGTGGAGGGCTCCATAGGTTGTGTCTTAACCCCTTGCGCCACCAGGGAGGCCCCTCTTTGGTTCTAAAGGTTAGGAAAGAGCGATTCACCCCCTCACAGAGGAGAGCAAGACCCAGGCACTTTGCCTCCCCAGGTCTGCCATTGTTCCCAGACAGGGCCCTTGAGCAAGGCTGCGTCTGGGAGAAGGGGCTTCTGTCCTGACTGTCCTGCGTGGCTCCTGCAGCAGGCCAGGTGGGTTCAGCGGCACCCTGGTCTGTGAGGACAGGGGCATACCAGGCCAGTGCCTCGCCAGCCTCCGAATAGCAGGCACTCCTTGTTGCCGGCCAGGGTGTGCCCACCACTTGGGGGTGCTTCACACCTGTATGCCCTGTCAGCTGTATGCCCTGGTGATGACTTGATCAGAAACCTTTGGTGAGGGCTTTCCTTGCCAGCACCAAGTCCTCCTGTCACTGCAGGTTCCTCTTAGAGGGCTGTACTCCTGGCGCAGTTTATCAGCTGTCACAGTCCGCGTGGTTATCTTTTGCTGCCTTACAAATCACCCCGTAGTTAGCAGCTCACGGCAGCACACACTGATTATCTCCCAGTTGTGAGCAGACTTGCTGGGGGTCTTGGGTGGGGGCCTCACAAGGTGCTGCTGTCACCACGTTGGGGCACTGCCTCTGAAGGCTTGACTGGGCTGGAGGCACCCTGGCCATGTCAGCTCCCTGCCTCCCTTCCCTAGAAGCCTCTCCATGCCTCTGTTCATGGCTGGCAGCTAGCTTCCCCAGAGTGAGTTCCCTGCTAGTTCCCCTCGTTGCCCTGTGAATCCCTTCTCCTCTGCTCACGCATCTGTGGTCTCTTCTGCACACCTGTGACACAGCAGTGTCCCTTCTGCCACTGCAGGGTCCGTGGGAGCAGGGGCCATAGCACTTCTGTCGGAGCGCTCAGCTGTGTGCAGGCCTTGTAACCTCACTGTTTTCCTGTTTGGGTGGGGGGCGGGGTGAGGGCCAATTTTAATCATAGTGGTGTTTACTCTAGTGGACAACTCCTTTGACAACTTTAACTCACCATTCCTTTGTGGTATAATTTCTCACATACTAATTTACAGTGCAATTCACTGGTTTGTAGTGCATTCACAGTAATGTGTAACCATCATCTCTAATTCCAGAATATTCCATCCCCCGAAAGAGAAGCCCCATCCCTACCAGCAGTCACTGCCAGCCCCTGGCACCATGAACCCACTCTCTGCCTGTGGCTGTGCCTGTCCTGAATGTTTCTGTCAGTGGACTCACACCGCGTGGCCTTGTGTGTCTGCTTCTCTCCCTGAGCATCGTCTGTGCAGGGGCCCTCCCTGTAGTCTCATGTGTCCAAGCTGCCCCCTTTTCATGGCCGAGTGATTCTCCAGTGTGTGAGTGGACACTTGGGCTATGTTCACTTCATGGCGACAATGAGTCACACTGTGTGAATGTGCACGTGCAGGCTTTTGTGCGGACGTGCATTCTTGTTCCGCCTCGACAGACGCATAGGCGTGGGATTGCTGTGTCGTGTGATCACTCCGTGTTTCGAAGCTGTCCCATTTTACATCCCACCTGCTGTGTGTGGAGTTTTGATTTTGCCACGCCTGTGCCAGCGCTCGTCACCCTCCTGTTGGCATGTGTGTCCTTTGTGTCTCAGGGATGGGCCTCTTCTCACGTTCTTACTGGCTGTCAAGTATCTTCTTTGTGCCAGCGTCAATTTCAATAGTGCAGGTATTTTTCCTTTTATTTCCGAGTTAGGGTTTTTTTTTTTTTAAGGGAATCTTTTTTTTTTAAGATTTATTTATTTATTTATACAAGCACAGGGTACAGTCAGAAGCGCGGGAGGGTGAGAGGATTCACCAGAGACAGAGCGGGGAGCAGAACAGGCAGACTGACGAAGTACACTGCTGAGGGGAGCAGCAGGCGGCAGGAGAGGTCTGCGCGCCATGTGGGACCCTCGCCCAGCGGCCGGGGATTGAACTGGCGCCGCAGAGGCTGCGGGCAGCTTCGCAGCCCAGCGCTCAACCGCTCTACCACCGGGGGAGGCCCTTGAGTTAGGGTTTTTAACATAATTGATACAAACCTTTTTCCAGGTAATTTGCAAACTTTTTTTCTCTCATGCGACTTTTTGTTTTCTCAATGTCTTTGAAACATAAAGTGTTTAGTGAAGTCAAACTTACCTGTTTTTTTCCAAGCCTAAAGTTTGAAGTGATTATCATGCGGTGGGCGCACAGCAGACAGCCAGAGGCTGAGCGTCCTCCCTCCTTCTACAGCCCTCACGCAGGCAGCAGTGCTGTGGTGTACCTGGCCTTGCTTCAGGGCCCGGGCTCTCTGGCACTGTGGCTCTTGACCCAAGTCTGTGCTCCTTGTCTCCCTCTGGAGACATCCTCCATTTGGAGGATCGCAGCCACGCTCGCAGTGCTCGGCACCGCCTGCGCTCAGGAGATAGGTCCCCTCCGCTCTCCGTGTGGCATCACGCTCCTGAGCACTGGTCTGGCTGTCGACACTCAGACCCCTTCGTGCCCTGATGGTGGGTGGACTGAGAGGGTCAGGGCAGAGCTGACCAGCCAGCACCTCCAGGGGCCCGGACAAGGGCAGTGCTGCAGAGGTCGGGTGGGAACTGTGTGTTGGTGCTTATTGTTCTGGGCTCCTGGGCTTTAGCCACCAGAGGGCAGGAGTTGTGCTGTCTTGCTCAGTCACCAAATACTATGACTGCTGGGACACTGTCTCTTTGTCTCATTCTTATGGTAAATTTGCTGAGGTGTCAGGAGATGCCCCTGAGGAATTTGTGGGGCTCCGAGGCTGTGGTCTGGGTCCTTCTGGGTCTTTCGGTGCTCAGGTGCTGATGAACCTGCAGGTGTGCGGGCAGCAAGGCGAGCAACAGGTGTTCTTGTCAGCCAGTGTGTTGGAGGGATCCTGGTGTTCTGTTTACAAGGGACCCTGAGTGCTATGTGGCTGCAGCGTCTCACAGGTGAAGCTGGGGCCATGTGTCAGAGGGCCCCGCCCAGAAGCAAGGGGGGCTGTTAGTGCTGGGGTTGGGGCTTCTGTCCTTGCTGCCTGCACTGCTGCTCTCATTGTGCCAGTTCTTGCACTTCATTTGAGACCTTTTGAAGTCAGGCTACTGTCTGCTGCTCCGTTGCCCAGTCTCTTGACTCACCCCCCAGCTCTGGCCACCATCCAGCCTTCATAGATCCTTCATGGGGTGCCGAGAGACCAAGTCAGAGAGGCCAGGCCATTAAATTCCAGTCCTTGTCTTGTTAGTAATAACCAAGTAATAACCTGGGGGCACCAGGGACCCCAAACGGTTAAGGGGTACATGCTGTAAAAGGAGTCCAGCCATCTGCCGTCCAAAGGCACAGGAAACAGACTCTTTTTTCATTTTTATTTATTTATTTTTTATAGAGGCATGTTTTATTTATTTGTTTGTTTGTTTTTGTTTATACATGCACTGGGTACAGTCAGAAGCGCGGGAGGGTGAGAGGATTCACCAGAGTCAGAGCGGGGAGCAGAGCAGGCAGAAGGACCGAAGTACACTGCTGAGGGGAGCAGCGGGCGGCAGGAGAGGTCTGTGCGCCATGCGGGACCCTCCTCCGGTGGCCGGGGAGCAGCCGGGGATCGAACCGGCGCTGCAGAGGCCGCGGGCAGCTTCGCAACCCAGCGCTCAACCGCTGCGCCACTGGGGAGGCCCCAGGAAGCAGACTCTTAGTGTGAAAGATTTCAGTATAATTCATGTGCGTAGAGAGAGAAGAGGAGAAAGGATATTCTTAACAGAACTCTGAGAATTACCCATCCCCTGGTGGGCTAATGCCCAGCCACACAGGCTCTGCTGAAGAGGGACTGCTGAAGCTTGCCACAAGTCTGTGGTACCTTTTGGCAAGGAGCCAGAAAAAAAAAAAAGGGTTAAGGAGATCCCAGAGAGCTGGGACAGAAGGAAAAATACAGAATTAAAAATGAACCACATAACCCAACATGAGGTCAAAATAATGACTGTTACTGTCTTGCCATAGTTGAAAACAGCCTCTCCGCACGTCACCCCCGTGTCTCTTCCCGGTGCCTCTTCCAACTGTCTCTACATTTCCCTCCTCCATAGTTCTCCTCCAGGTCTCCTTCCCGGCAGTACCAGGGTGCAAATGTGGCTGCAGAGGCAGGAGAGGGGGCAGCCTGCCTTCTGTGCGACATAGACCCACCTGCCCAGGAAGTCCGGCTCACGGCCCCCTGGGGCTTATAGTTCAAGGAGGCTGCATGCGAGCGGGGCATGGAAAGTGGTGCCTGCTCACTGCATTGCTGTGCTCCTCTCCTTTTTATGGAGAGCCAATCTGTAACAGTTTCTACCAGTCTTGGAGTAGCTCGCTGCCTGGCCCCACTCTTGACCTTTCTCTTGGAGGGCAGGAGGACCACCACCTGTGCTGTCTGGGTGGGTGTTTCTGGTTAGGAAATGGAGGCTTGGGGAGATTCACTTGAAATCAGGCCTGTGGCTTGTGGGCTATAGGAACCCCAGGAGTTGCCCCTGCGGGCGCCGCTGCCCATGGGCAGGGAGGGAATAGGCCCAGGTCCCTTCTCTGCTACATGCTGAGGAGGGAGCAGGGCGGGGACAGGTCCTTCCCAAGGCCAGATGTGCCCATAGCAGGGATCCTGGAATAGCATCCCCTGCTCAGACGGGGCTCTCTGGTGGTCCCTGAGTGGATAAGGGGCTTTTGAACTCTGGGGATGGAGAAACGAAGAGCCAGGACGGATGAGCGTGAGCGCGGCAGCACCTGTCCCCTGCTCCTTGGATGGCCGCTGAGCCCGCCAGCTCTGAACCCTGTCCCATTGTCTTTCAGGACAAACACCATGATGCTGCTCACGAAATCATCGAGACCATCCGGTGAGCACAGCACCTACTGGGGCCGGGCCTGGGGGGGCCCTCTGGGTGGATGGGGGTTTCTGGATTGCATTTAGGGGAAAGGGTGGGACCTTGGGGTGGGACTGTGGGTGGGGCAGGGCTTCATAGGGTGGGGTTATTGGGGGCTGCAGGGCAAGGCTTACAGGCAGGACCTTGGTGCTGGTCCTTATGGAAGGGTGAGTCCTGGGCTTTGGGGGGGTGGGAGGGACATTGAAAAACTGGAGAGGGTTTTCTGCGGGGGCAGGGGGAAGCAGGCCCAGGTAGGGGTTTGGGGTGGAGCCTTGCGGGTGGGCTGCCCTGGGGTGGGCTGTGGGCCTTTCCTTGCTCCTGAGCTACCCTGGCTCCAGGCTTCTTGTCCCTGCTCCTGATTGCGATTTCATCTTGGCAAATTTTAATGTTTGCATTCAAGATTATTAACATCTTCTGATTTTCCAGGACAAGGTGAGCGTCCCATCCTCTCTGGATTCGCCTGCCTGATTCTCTTACCCACGGGAACAGGGCTCTGAAAAAACGAGTCTCTTTCCTTGGTGTGTTCTGGTGTCTTTGAGAATGGACAGAAGCATTGGGCTGTCTCTTACAGTCTGGGCCGAGGGACTCCCAACAGACACGTGCAGTGCAGGACGACCAGCGCTGCCAGTGGTGCCCAATGGTTTTCTGGAGGAGGGTCCTAGTATAGGAAAGAATTGAGCTGGCCTCAATGACTAAGAGGGCTGTAGCTGTGTGACTCAGGTGTTCAGGTCTGCAGGGGAGAATCACCTGCCCTTGGGGGATGGCCACCTGGGGTTGGAGAAGGCTCCACGCACTGCCTAGGTCAGCTTAAGTCTTGATGTTGATCCATGTTTGCCTTCTGTGAAGCCAAGTGGTCTGAATGTCACTGTGCCTTGCGTACACATGATCGTAGTTTTTTTGGGGGAAGAGGGCCCAGTTATCACTGGGCTCTCTCAAGGAATCCGGAGCCCAGGCCCCTGCCTGGCAGGGTGGGCAGAAAGCCAGGTTTGAGGTGCAGTGCCCCATCTGGGGGGTGGGCAGAGGGCTCCTGGAATGGAATTGCCTGTCCAGAGCTTCTGTTCGCTCTGTTTCACCAGCATCAAAACAGAGGCCTCCAAGTGTGGCTTTTCATTTTCTCATTCAGAAACACTGCTGTGCTCTTATATACACACGCTCGCCTCACTCTTCGCCAGCAGGCGTCATAGCGCTCTCTGCTCTGGGCAGAGATGTTGAGATGTTTTCTGAATTGAATTAATTGGGAAGGGCTTCTCGTGGTGTTATTTGGGGGGCACCTTCTCCAGCCCGGCTGTTCTGTCCTGCGGGGGTAGTGGGTGCCTCAGGGGTGCTGTTGCTTCAGGTTCCAGGAGACCACTGCTGCACTGGGCCTGCTCCCTGCTGTGTGTTCTTGGGGAGGTGGGATGAGTTCCAGGACACCAGCAGGAGTTTCAGAAGGTTTTTAGCGAGCATGTGGTGTCAGGTGGGGCTTGTGTGGTTTCTTTTCTTTTTCTTTTTTTTTAAGATTTATTTATTTATGTACAAGAGCTGGGGTACAGGCCAGAGGCGTGGGAGGGTGACAGGATTCATCAGAGACAGTGGGGAGCAGAACAGGCAGACTGACTGAAATACACTGCTGAGGGGAGCAGCGGGCGAGACAGGAGAGGTCTGTACGCCATGAGGGAATCTCCCTGGCTGGTCGGGAATCGAACCCGGCTGCAGAGGCTGTGGACAGCTTCACAGCGCTGCGCTCAACCCGCTGTGCTACCAGGGAGGCCTCCCCATTTATTTATTTATTTATTTATTTTTTTAATAGAGGCATGTTTTATTTATTTATTTATTGTTTGTTTGTTTGTTTTGTTTATACATGCACTGGGTACAGTCAGAAGCGCGGGAGGGTGAGAGAATTCACCAGAGCCAGAGCGGGGAGCAGAGCAGGCAGAAGGACCGAAGTACACTGCGGAGGGGAGCAGCGGGCGGCAGGAGAGGTCTGCGCGCCATGTGGGACCCTCCTCCGGTGGCCGGGGAGCAGCCGGGGATTGAACTGGCGACGCAGAGGCCGTGGGCAGCCTCGCAACCCAGCGCTCCACCGCTGCACCACCGGGGAGGCCCCTCCCCATTTATTTTTAAGATTTCTTTTTTTTATTCATGCATACAAGAACTGGGCTACAGGCCAGAGGTGTGGGAGGTGAGAGGATTCACCAGAGACAGAGTGGAGAACAGAACAGGCAGATTGACCGAAACACACTGCCTAGGGGAGACAGATTAGGGAACAGAGCAGGCAGATGTACTGAAATACACTGCTGAGGCTAGCAGCAGGCGAGACAGGAGAGGTCTGCTGCGCCATGTGGGTCAGCTCCTTGGCCAGGGATCGAACTTGTGCTGCAGTGGATGCTGATAGCTTCGTAGGCTGCATCTTAACCCCTTGTGCCACCAGGGAGGCCCCTTGAGTGGTTTCTTTGTTGTGCTACCAGTTATTGGTGGTGTTGGGGTGGTTCCCCTGCTAACAGGGTGAATTTTAAAGTAAGCCTTTTCTTTTTTAAATATATATATTTAAAGAACAGGTTTATTAGGGAAAGGGACAAAAGAGTAAAAGACACTTGCACAGACACAAGCGGGCAGGAAGAGCTGCCCTGAAAGGGACAGGATCGCTGAGAGGGGCCTGCATGGTTGCAGGTGGGCAGCCTTGAGGAGAGCTGCCCCCACTGAAGGAGGTCAGTGAGGAGAAGACCCGGCATAGTGCAGGTCACAGGCAGGCAGGGAGGCTGCTGCCCTGCAGAGGGAGAGAGTTGGTTGAAAAGAAGCACCTGCATAGTCACAGGTGGGCAGACGGAGTGCTGCTAAGCTTTTATTTTTTGAAAATGAATTTTGGGTATCATCATGTATTAGAAGACCAACCTTCCTACCCCACCCATGAAAAGAAATACCCCCACACTTTCCTTTACGCTTGCTCATGAGGACATCTGTTGTAAATAACTTGAACATCCTGTTCGATTTGATTTCTGTAAGTGAATGTTAGCAGCTGCTTGGCCAGCCCTTTGTTTGGAACCCCCAGTTGGTCTGGTCATCTCCCAGGCTGGCATGGCTGCTGATTGACAGACTTCTTCCTCATCTTCTGGACCTGAAACAAATTAACCTTCTCTCTTCTTGGCCCTGGAGACAGGGTTTGTTAACCTGACTTTGTCCTTTCTCTGCTTTACTTCTTAGAATGGGGACATTCCAGCACGCGCAGAGGTAAGCAGGGCATAATGAGCCCCGCGCTTCCATCGCCCCGCTCAAGCCACTTTCCTCTCACTGTGCCTCTATCCACTCTCTCTTTCCCATCGCACTATATTCGGAGATGCAGTTGAGGTACAAGAAAGCACACACGTGTGACGTGTGCAGTCTGAGCTGCGTGGGCAGTGCGCCTGTGCACTCACCACGGTGATAGATGTGCCCGTCACCCATTCCCTGGCCTCCACGGCTGTGTCCCCGCCCTTCCCATCCTGGGCAGACCCGCTCTGCTTTCTGACCTCCCGGGGCCGTGTGCACCGTATAGAATTTTACATAAGTGGACAGGAGCTTTTTGCTTTGCTTTTTACTCAGGACACGGTTTGGAGAGCCTCTGTGGCTCCGTGTCCCTGGTTCTTTCGGAACCGCGGAGTGCTTTGTTGTGTGGCTGGACTGTAATTTGTTCACCGCTTGTCAGACGGTGGACACGTTGTGGAGTTCTGGCAATGACAAACAGCTGCGAAAAACATTGACGGGCTTTCGTGTGGCCGGGTCTCCCTTTCTGCCGGGTACCCACCCTGGAGTGGTACGGCAGACTGCTTTAGCGACATTGCTCGCGTTTCCCACAGGGAAGTCCTCGCTGCACCCCAGCAGCCCCCAGGCTCCCCCGCAGACCCGGCTTGTGGCGGTGACCAGCTTTTTGCCCTAATCTAATGTGAGCCAGGTGGTGGCATCTTACTGTGGTTTTATTTTGCATTTTATAAAAACTAATCATGTTCATCGTCTTTTTGCCTGTTTTAAAACTTGGTTGTTTTTGAACCTAGAGTGTTTTTAGCATATTCTGGTTGCCAGTCCTCCCTGGGTGTGTGTTTTGCTGATGTCGCTTCTAGTCTGCCTCTCATCTCTTCATGTTCTCAGCAGTGTATTTTGTGGCACAGACACAAATTCTGTCTTAAATTGTGATAAAATTCCAGTTTATTGACTCATATTTTGTGTTCTTACCTTTCCTAAGAAATACTTTTATTTCCCAGAGTCATGAAGATTTTTTCCTCTATTGTCTAGAAGTTTATAGTTCGGGCTTTCACACACATCTTGCAGCCGCTCGAGTGCATGTGCACGTGTGCTGCAAGGTGTTGTGTGGGTTGAAGTTTATTGTTTTTGCGTGTGGATGTCCGGCAGCTCAGCACTGCTCTGTGACGAGCCTGTCCGCTCTCTGAAATTCCCTTGTCACTTTGTCAGAAATCCATTGACAACCTATGAATTGGTTATTTCTAGGATCTGTGCTGTCAGTGTCTCTTGCCCAGTGCAGAACCCTGTTCGCTGTAGTTGATACAAGCTCTGGCATCAGATGGCGTCCTTCACCTTTGTTCTCCCTTTCAAATCTCGGTGTGGTTATTCCACCTGCTTTGCTCCTCCATATAAATTTTAGAATCAACTTGTCAAGTTCTACATAACTTTGTTTGGGAATGCCTTGGATCTGTAGGTCATTGTGGAGATTTGCCGTCTGCATTGAGCTGTGCAGTGCAGGGGACATGGCCCTTTCTGCTTAGGGCTTTCATCACTTCTCTAGCTGTGCTCTGTAGTATTCCAGTGTGGACGTTCTGAACGCTTTGTTAGTTTACTCCCAGATAGTCCAGGCTTTTGACACTGTTATAAATGGGATTGTGTGTTAAATTTTATTTTCCAATTGCCTGCTGCTCATAAAAAAAAAAAAATACAGTTGGCTTTATATATCCGCCTTTACCTTGTGCTAAATTCACTGCTTCTAGTAGTTGCTGTGTAGATTTTGTGGAACTTGAAGTGGAAATAATGGTATCATCTGTAAGTAGGGACAATTTTACTCGTTGGCTGAGACCCTGATGCGATTTTGCGAGGCGGTAACTGCTGGCTTTCTTGCTTTTCCTGACTGCGGTGGCAAAGTAGCCAGTCTTTCACCACTGAGCTGATGTTAGCTACGAGTTCTTCTAGATGACTTGTGTGAGTTGGAGGAAATTCCCTACTATTCTTAAAGTCACTCTTCCTGGATGTGTCCGTAGCATTATAGTTATGCTGAAAACAAGTCCTTACCTTTCACAGATGAATACTGAAGTATTTATGAATGGAACAATGTAATGTCTGTGGTCTGCTCCTGAGTAACATGGAGTAGGTGCGAAGGAGCACTTGACAAAGAGTGTCCCAGTGAGAGCTCTCAGCAGGGAGGCTTGTGCCTTCTGTGCCAGGCGTGGTCACCTGGTGAAGTCTTGGGTCTGCCAGGTGTTCTCAGTGTAGGTTGCTGTTTTCCCTTTGTAATTAGTGTCATGGGGAGATGCTCGAGGAGCTGTGCAAATGTGCTGCTTCCCCTTGAGCTTTTTTCCTCTGATAGTGGCATCCTTAGTTCGGTAGTGCTTGTGAAGGGGATTCTGCCTCCCCGCATGGCCCTGTTTATTCATCGGGAGTCTTCTGTGGGGAAGAATTGCTCCCTCAAGGGTCCTGACTGCATCCTCTGGGTTATAATCTGCTACTGTGTCTTTTGCTTTTGTTACTCAGATTGTTCTCTGTTGCTGTCGGTGCTGTTGCAGTTTGTCATGTCCCTGTGCCTCCTCCCCCATCCATCTTGGGGAGCATAGTTCCACTTTCTGGAACTGCAAGATGCTCCCCTGGAATCAGACACTTTTCCAGGGAGCTCTGGTTCTCTGGTTGGAACGTGGTTACTCTCCTTTGAGAGTGGGCTGTTCGTCTTCTGCCCCCTTGTGGGTGTTCGTGGCCCATCCTGGGTGTGCGTAGCAGCACCTGGTGAGGGGCTGCGTTACCCCAAGTCTGGGTGAGTGGGGTTCTCTCCAGTTCATTCTTTGGTGGTTAGTTGTGGGTCATGTCTGGGATATCTTTGTCTTCTTGAGTCACAGAAATATGCTCTCTTGTTTTCTTCAAGAAGCTTTGTGGTTTTAACTTTCACATGCAAGTTTAAGATCAATTGCGAATTAATTTTTGCCTGTATCAGGTGGGGGTTTATGTTTATGGGGGTCAAGACTCATCTTCCCACTTGATGTTCATTTGTTCTAACATCATCTGTTGAAAATTCTTTTCTTTCCCCATCAAAGTGCCTTGATGCTTTTGTCAAAAGCCAGTTTAAATGATGGTCTGTATCTGGATTCTGTGCACCACATCATTGCAACATTATTGTTCTTTTTTTTTTTTTTTTTTTTTAAGATTTATTTTGTTTATACAAGAACCGGGGTACAGGCCAGATGTGTGGGAGGGTGAGAGGATTCACCAGAGTGGGGAACAGAACAGGCAGAATGACTGAAATACACTGCTGAGGGGAGCAGCGGGAGAGACAGGAGAGGTCTGCCACGCCATGTGGGTTGCTCCGCGGCCAGTGGGGATTGAACCGGCACTGCAGAGGCTGTGGACAGCTTCACAGCGCTGTGCTCAGCAGCCTGTGCCACCAGGGAGGCCCCATTATTGTTCTTTTTAAAAGATTATTTTGAATGCCTCCCTGGTGTTACAAGGGGTTAAGCACTGCACTATGAAGCAATCCACAGCCTCTGTAGCCTGCAGCACAAGTTCGATCCCAGCCGGCCAGGGAGCAATCCACTTGGCGCAGCAGACCTCTCCTGACTTGCCTGCTGCACCCCTCAGCAGTGTACTTCTGTCAATCTGCCTGTTCTGTTCCCCACTCTGTCTCTGGTGAATCCTCTCATCCCCCGTACCTCTGGCTTGTACCCCAGGTCTTGTATGCATAAATAAATAAATCCTTTTTTTTTTAAACAGATTATTTTGGTTCTTTCAGTTCCTCTGCCTTGATCTGTCTCTTCTAGAATCATTTTGTCAGTTTGTCACAGAAAGCCAACTGGCCTTTAAATAGGAATTGCTTTGATTTTGCCATTTAGTTTGGGGACAAGATTTAACCATATTGAGTCGTCTATTCCACAAACATAGTATGTATTTTTAAAATTTATATTGTCTTTTTTTCAGCTATGTTTTATAATTTTTGACATAGCTGTCTTCAATCTTTTCTTAAAATTATCACTGAGTATTTGTGTTTGAATGCTAATTTTAAATGGCATTTAAATTTCTCTCTCTTTTTTTTAAAGATTCATTTATTTATGCATACAAGAGCGGGGGTACAGGCCAGAGATACAGGAGGGTGAGTGGATCCACCAGAGACAGAGTGGGGAACAGAACAGGCAGACTGACTGAAATACACTGCTGAGGGGAGCAGCGGGCGAGTCAGGAGAGGTCTGCCGCTCCATGTGGGTTTCTCCCTGGCCGGCCGGGGATCAAACTTGTGCTGCAGAGGCTGCACATTGCTTCATAGTGCAGTACTTAACCCCTTGCGCCACCAGGGAAGCCCTAAATTTCTCTTTAAAAATTATTTGTTGCTAGTAATTGTGAATATAATTTATTTTTGCACGTTAATCCTGTGTTCTATGATATTGTTCAAGTAACAAAAGTTCTAGAAGCTTCTATATATGTTCCTTAGGACAGACTATGTACTGAATCGTGTGCGGATAGAGATGTGTCTTCCTTTCCAGTCTTTAGACTGTTCATTGGATCTTCTTGCTGTAAGGAGCTGGACTAGGACCCTGAATAGTGTTGAAGAAAGGCAGTGGCCCCAGCCATCTGGCCTGCCCTCACCCTCAAGTTCTCCTCACCAGTTTGGTATTTGCTGCAGGGCTCACGTGTCTGTCTCCTGACAGAAACCTTGTATGCTGCTGAACAAAGAGCTTACCGTAAGTGGTCACCAGGCATAAAGCTCGGTAAGCGAAGGTAGTGAGGTGGTGATCATGGGGCCCTTGGGGCTGAGGGAGTTAGGGAGAGGTGACCCTGGGAGGCACAGAGATACTGGGGACTTGAGTTTGGATGGAGATTACAGATCTCTGAGCCATGGGTGCTGGCTGTTTGGGGCTACAGGGGTGGGAAAGTTGGATGAAGAGAACTGCCAGCTGGGGTTGCAGCTGCCAAGAGAAGTAGCTACTTCCTGCTGGGAGGAAGCCTCTTGGGATGACACAGCACAGTAGGCAGAGGGAACCATTCCTCACCCTTCTGTGTCTTGTCTCCTCTGCCTCTAGGCAGAGCCCGCAGGGCATCAGCCTGCAGAGAGAGTGGCTGTGCTGCTGAGATAGTAGCTCAGGAGCGACCTCACTCCCTTACCAGGGAGGGGAGGATTCAGTCCTTGTCTGGTTTCTTGAGTTTTTACCATGAATAGGGATTGCATTTTGTCAAGTGCGTTTCCTGCATCTGTTGAAATTCTACTACTACTTTTTCTCCTGTATTCTGTTAATGGGTGAATGATGGTGATTACTATTAAATTTTAAGCAACTTTCCATTCCTGCGATAACCCCACTTGATTGAGATGTACTGCAAAATTCACTTTAATAGTATGTTAAGGTATTTTGTGTTTCTGTAATGAATGTTGTTTTGTAGATTTCCTTGTAGTGACTGTCTTTATAAGGCCTTGTGTTTGCTGGTTTTGGTATCAGGGTAACATTTCCCTCATAAAACTGAAAAAGTTTTGGTAGTATTGAATTCTCTGGGAGGGCTATATCATTTTGGTAAGATTGAATTTGGTAGGATAGAATACCCAGGAAAATCTTTTGGGCCTGGTGGTTTCTCTGTGGGAAGGAATTTCATTTGGAGGTGAGGTCTTCAGTGGGTGTGATGCTCTGCTGATGTTCGTTCTTGTGCGTTCTAGTAATTTGTGTCATCAAAGAGCTTGTTGGTTTCCTGTAAGATGTTGGCCATGTTGGCACACCATCTTTCCTATATGTTCCTTGTCTTCCTCTTAGCCTCTGTGGGCTCTGTAGTGTAAAGGGTGATGTTCCCCTTTCAATATTTTTCTTGAGATGGATCAACATCCAGTTAGGCCTTCGCTGGGAGTGGTTGACATTTGTTTCTGTCTCTTAATCTGTAAGTTACTTCTCAACATCTTGTATCTTTATAGTGTGTGTGTTGAAGAAGCCCATGTTTGTTTTGGGATTAGTTAGCAAATAATTGCTTTCTTTAGTTTCTGGCTGGTAAGTAACTTTTCAGGTTTTCTCATTTGAGACAGTTGTTTGCCCTGGCCCTGTCACTTGTAATTCCTTTTAGCCCCTAAGAATCAACCTTGTTCAAACTTGAAGCGGCATGAAGTTTGTATAATTTACCATAGCTTCGTCATAAGCTTTACAGCACTTGTTTTGATGTAATGCCTTCCTTTTCTCTCTCATGTTTTGGATTGAGTAATGAGGATGTTTTGATTTTATATTTGGGAGTAAACAGAGTTTAAGAAAATGGAGAGTGAAAATGGAGCATTAATCGTAATCTTCATTGCTTTTTCTGCTTTTGTCTTTCAGTTGGGTCTGTGAAGAAATCCCAGATCTCAAGCTTGCAATGGAAAATTATGTTTTAATCGACTACGATACCAAAAGGTAAGTGGACTCTGTCTGCGTCCATAGCTCCACCAGGGACAGGCTCAGCTCTTTGTGGGGACACGGCCTGTAATTGGTTCTTCTTTGAGGACACAGACTGATCTGGAATTCTCTGTATAGCGGGCCATAGTCTCCATGTAGTTATTTTTGTAGGAACTGTTTATCCAGTATTGGCAGAGGTTGTCAGAGTGAGGACACAGTTGGAAATGCCCGCTGTAGAGACTGGAATTAGTATGTGTGAAGCTAGTAGTTGCTGTTGTCATGGTGGGCAGCTGCCAGGGCCTCATCCTGCCCGTGAGCTGCTGCTGGGTTGGCCAGACCTGGCCTCCGAGCCTCAGGCTCTGGCTTGGATCTCAGCTCAGTTGGGAAGTAACTGTATCTAACCCTTTGGCTGCTTCTAGCAGTTTCCTGCAGGCACATCCGGGACTTGAGAGCAGAGTCCATGGGTGGAGTGGGTGAGGCCATTTCTGGAATGCCTGCCTGGGAGTTTTGGTTTTTTTTGGAGAATGAGAGATGCCATTACCTGCTTATGTCTATTTTAGCCCTTGGCAGACTTCCCTGAGGGTTGTGGTGTCTGTGGGCTGGGTGGCTCGATCTTGACAGGCGTGCAACACCAGGAGCCTGAGGCCTACAGAGCATCACACCCAGTCTTTGACTCGGTGTCACTGTTGTATTTGGAGGACTGCTGGTTGGCTAGCAGTCTCCAGCTTTGCCAGCCCTGATCCTGCCCTATCCCCACTTTAATAATCATCACCATGGTCACTCTTGTCAGAGCGGTCAGGTCCCTGGAGTGTCAGGTGGCCCTCCACCTGACGTGTGGGCACTGACCCTCCACATGGTTGGTGAAGCCACACCTTTGTTGTGCCTGCACTAGAGAGCCAGTGTTTTAAAGATGCTTTTGCTGCAAGGCTCTTACAGGTGAGTGTTTGCTGTTCTTCCCCTCCACGTCAAGTCAGCTTAGAAAAGACTGGAAGGAGGTTAGAGGCTGGAAATGTCAGCTTGATGGGGACAGTGTGATCTTGGGGTCGAGTGTATGCAGAGCATCCTCATTTCTTTTTTTTTTTGTGGGACCCTCGCTGGTGGCCGGGGATCAAACTGGTGCTGCAGAGGCTGTGGGCAGCCTCACAACCCAGCGCTCAACCGCTGCGCCACCAGGGGAGGCCCAAGAGCATCCTCACTTCTGTCTTAGACAAGGTGGGCCGGCAGAGCCACCTGTTGTGGATGAAATCCCATCAAGGCAAAGGTGTGAGGATGGGCCTAGGGCAGCCCAGGATCCTGTGAGCTTCTAACTTGCTCATCATCACAGGGAAAGTCTCTCCTGGAGGTATTCAGAGACCTTGGGTGGTCGTAGGTGCTGGGTTGAAAGAGAGATGTAAAGTAGAAGGCGAGGAAATAAAACCCTATCATTTCACAAATTAGGAGAGCCGGCCATAGCAGAGAGTCAGGGAGTGTGGCCCCAGCCCCGGGGTGAGAGCTTTTGCCCAGGCTGGCCGTGGTCTGCGTGTGTGGTTAGTTCGTCTGGAGCATGGCCCAACTCACGTCTCCTCACATGTCCCTGCACTTGTGCCCCCTGATCCTGCTGGGTCATGAGTCTCCTTGTTGTCATTCTCCGTCAGGACTCGCCAGGTGAGGGCTCTCCCACTCTCAGGCTCGCTTACTTTTTTCAGCCACCATCCAGAAAACTGAGCTGGTGTGACTTTGGGTCGTGGTGGAGTTCCTTTCCTTCTGTTATTAAGGGCAGGTGCAAAGTGGCGTGCTCCCCAGCTCTCGGGCAGAGCTCAGGCCGAGGATGCGGGTCAGGCGGGCCATGAAAATGCAGTGGAGGGTAGGGGGCTGATGGGTCTGGATGCTCACGGATCCTTATGTGCAAAGGATCCTACAACTCAGCCAGTGTCATCCACTGTCTCCTGGGGTCTCACTGTGGAGAGCTGCTCAGCTGCTGTGCATGTAGGTGGCCTAGAAAGAACCCCTGCTCACCACTCCTTTCCACGTAGTCTGCTGGTGCTGCCCCTTCCATGTGGCCAGGGCTCTCCCTCCTCCCCTTCCAGCACTGCTAACAATAGGCCCCGGTCATTCTCTGGGGAGACCATCCTGGCCACTGTGGGGCGTGAACAGCATCCCTAGTCCCATCCACTAGACGCCAGAAGCACCTCCACAAATGTTGCCCACTGTCCCCTTGAGGGCAGGATCGCTCAGGTGCAGCCCCTGGGCTAGGAAATTCCAGTGAGCAGTGACACCTAAAATACAGATGATCATATTTGAGAGAACCTAAAACTTCTACCTGCTGCATCCCCTCCTCGCCCCGCCCCTGCCAGGTGTTCAGTGCACATTGCTCCTTGTGTCCAGGAAGCTTTGGTGAACAGAAGTGACAGTCATGAATGAGAGACACCTTTCCCAGAGTCATTTGGTGCCTTTCCGCCTGATCCTGAGAGGTGGACCCTTCTGCTTGTTGGGACTGCTCTAGACTAGTGGCCCCAAGTGTCCCAGTGTCCCCTGGAGGTGCTCCCAGCTGTGAAAGGGATTCCGGACTGCACACTGCTTTCACCCTGTCTTGGGGAGCACTGTGGGGGTGGGGAGTGAGGCAGCCTTGGCTCTGCTTTGTGAATAGCCAATGGCCTTCTGCAGACCTAACCTGTTGCGTACCCCCGACCTTGCTCTGACCTGTGAGCACTGCTGCGTGCCTACCTGAGGCACGAGGAACCAAGGACTGCCTCAGCCTGAAGCTCCCAGCTAGCTTGGGTGCCCTGTGACTGCTGCCTTCTCCCCGGTGCCTCATCCCTCACCTCCGGGGACCTGTTCTGAGTGTGGCAGTGACAGTGCCTTTTCCTTGCGTTTTCAGCTTTGAAAGCATGCAGAGGCTTTGTGACAAGTACAACCGGGCCATCGACAGCATCCACCAGCTGGTAGGTGGCCTTTTCCTCCACTCGGTTGCTCCTAGTCTCGCCCACACTGGGGTTGGTGACCCCTGTTTGCTGTGTCACCTGGTGGTTTCAGTGCACTGCCTCCAGACCCTCTGGGGATCTGGGACCCATTAAAGTCCTCCAGAGACGGAACGTGTAGTTTGGGGCTGGGAACCCTGACCTCCAGTGTGAGGTGCTCAGGGAGCTGTCATGAACGGGGGTGAGGGAGCATCCACGCAGGCCCTGTGCCCGCTGTACACTGGACGGTTGTGACTGGCTGACCTGGTTTCTTTCTTTCTTTTTTTTTTTAAAGATTCATTTATTTATGCATACAAGAGCTGGGGTACAGGCCAGAGGTGTGGGGGGGGGGTGAGAGGATTCACCAGAAACAGAGTGGGGAACAGAACAGGCAGATTGACCGAAACACACTGCTGAGGGGAGCAGCGGGTGAGTCAGGAGAGGTCTGCTGCGCCATGTGGGTTGCTCCCTGGCCGGCTGGGGATCGAACTCATGCTGCAGAGGCTGTGGACAGCTTCACAGGCTGTGTCTTAACCCCTTGCGCCACCAGGGAGGCCCTGACCTGGTTTATTTCTGAAGGTTGCTTGGGGCCCTTGTGTCCACATGAACCTTCACTTGGGTACCCTGTCCCTTGGGCAGGCAGTAATTAGACCTTTTGGGAGCTTCTTCTGCCTTTCAACCAGTCACGTGTGAGTGTCCTCTGGTCCCCGTGGGCGCTCTGGGTATGCAGTGCCTTGGAAGTGGTCTGCTTCTCCCCGTGGTGCGTGAGGCTTCATCTACCAAGTGGGTTGGGAGTGAAGGTGTCACTATAGACAGAGCAGGACCCTGGTGAGGGACTGAGCAGGGTGGGTGAACACACAGCACGGAGCCTGCAGCTGGCTGGCTGTCCCTGACCTAACTGGTGTAGTAGTTGGAGCCCCTGGAATGAGCTGGTCCGGGTTGGCACAGGTTGTTGTTCTCATTGTTGTTACTATGGCCAGGAAGAAGGCGAGGCTCAGTAAGGACAGGGCTTCCTGTATCAGGGACAGGGCTTGGAGGGATTCTGCTGGGGTCAGCTGTGTGGCATCTAGTCCACTGCCTTGCCTAAAACTCTTCCTCGGTAGCCGTCACTGCTGTCACCAGGCTGCACGAGGCAGAAGTGCAGGAGAGGAGGGTGTGGGTGACTGACTCCCTGGAGTCCAGCACAGGCTGAAGGGTGTGGGCCTAGCTCTCGTCCCTTGGTGGGTCATAGCCAGTGTGGGGGTGAAGTCTGAGTGGACATCACCTGCGTGACATGCTCTGATGCTTTCCTCATATCCCAGTGGAAGGGAACTACCCAGCCCATGAAGCTAAACACTCGACCATCCAACGGGCTCCTGCGGCACATCCTGCAGCAGGTCTACAACCACTCAGTGACAGACCCCGAGAAGCTCAACAACTATGAGCCCTTCTCCCCCGAGGTGTATGGGGAGACCTCCTTTGACCTTGTGGCACAGATGATCGATGAGATCAAGATGACCGAGGATGACCTGTTTGTGGACCTGGGCAGTGGTGAGTGGGGACACATGTCCACCAGTGCTTAGTCTTTTGTCTCTGTTGTCCTTGTCACGGATGCCACCTGTGCTTCCCTTGGAGAAGAGTCCAAGGGGATGTGGTGAGGTTGCCGGGAGCATTCAGCAGCTGAATGTGGGGCCCATTCCCTAGCCCTAGCCCTGGCCCGGACCTTCCCACAGTGCTTGTTCCATGGAGAGATGGAAGAAATAGCCCTCCCCTGTCCCCCGCACCCTTGCTCTCCTGCTGTTCTGCCAGGCCATGACAAGACCCCTGGGTCTACCTGGAGCTCAGTCCTTAGCCACCCCAGCATGCCCTGTAGCCTCATATCAACTGTCAGAATTGCCCCTCCTGGCAGCATCAGTTTAGAAGACCAGTTCCCGGCTCCCAGAAATGCCCTCCCTCATTGTTTGGGGTGAGTCCCTTGCTCTTGCAGAGGTAGCCCTGGAAGTTACCATACTTCAATCCTCCTGCACTCAGCAGCCTGATCAGCTGTTGTCTCCCTGTGTGTCTGTGGGGCACCCTGTACCAGACCGAGACCCCTGAAAGCTGGGCCTGTCTGTAGCCAGACATCAGAGCTGGCCATTGTATGTGCAGGAGACAGGTACAAGGTGGCACGTCATCTGACAACTCCTGAGGGAGCAGTCCGGTCCAGGTGACAGGGCTGATGATGTGGTTGGCTGTGAAGCCGTCACTCGCTACATTTGGAGCCTGGGCATAAACCTCCTCTAGTATGACTTTCTATCCCTGATGCAGAACTTGCTTTGGCACAAGTGCCTTGTGCTTACAGGTTTGAGAGTTCTACCTTAACAGACCTGGTCTTGCTGTTCCCAAAATGGGCCCAAAGGGTCAGGAAGATTATTTGGTGGTGGTGTCAACTTTTCTGAAGCTCTTTTTAAGCATACAGTCCATATTTTGATATGGGTGCATATAATTCAAAAGTCAGTTTTATAAAAGACAGTTTTATAAAGTTTTATCCTTTTTATGGAAGGATAGGTAACTTTTATCTTCATGTTAAAAAGCTTAAAAAAATTTAAATTTCTAGCATTACCTTTCCTGTCCCACTTGACCTCTGCATTTTATTTTATTTATTTTATTTTATTTTAGATTTATATATTTATACATACACAAACTAGGGAGCTGCCCCTGGAGGCGTTGCAGGCGGGGCTGCCGTGCCGCGCGTGCGTCGTCAGGTGGCGGACAGCAGCGGGCTGGTCTACGCCAGGCACCCTGGGTGGGCCGCCGGGTGATTGGTAGCCGGACACTCGCGGGTGCCGCTCGTGGCCGCTGGCCCCGGGCAGCCCTGACGCCCCTGGGTCTCTCCTAAAAGAAAAAAAAAATTATTTGACTACATTCTATTTTTTTTTTTTAAGATTTATTTATTTATGTATACAAGAGCTGGGGTTTAGGCCAGAGGTGTGGGAGGGTGAGAGGATTCCCCAGAGACAGAGTGGGGAACAGAACAGGCAGACTGACTGAAATACACTGCTGAAGGGAGCAGCAGGCGAGTCAGGAGAGGCCTCTGCGCCATGTGGGCAACAGCTCCCTGGCCAGCCAGGGAATCGAACTCATGTGGGAGAGGCTGCAGACAGCTTCATAGGTTGCGTCTTAACCCCTTGCGCCACCAGGGAGGCCCTTGACTACATTCTATTCAAACCTGAGATTCAAATGTCTCATAACATACTACTTAAAATACAAGCCAACCTGACGGGCAAGGAGACCTTCCTGGTGCCTCCAGCGTCTGATGTGTGTGTGCCAGGTGTTGCCTCTTGTTTCTGAGCCTGAGGACCTGCTGGTCAGGCTGCACGTGGTGTCACAAGATGACCATGCTCTGAAGGGGTTTTCCTGCTGCCTCTCAGGTGCCACATTAGACCCCAGGTGTTGTCAAGGCACTTCCAGATTGGCTCAGCCACATGGGTAATTCACAGTGCACCTAGGTGTCACTGAGTCTCATGTCACTGAGTCTCATTTCTGTGTGTGAACAGTTAGACTACCTAGGACTGGAATTCCTTGGCCACGAATGGATTCCAGGGGCCTCCCTGGTGGCGCAAGGGGTTAAGCACTGCACTATGAAGCATTCCGCAGCCTCTGCAGCACGAGTTCGATCCCACGGCTGGCCAGAGAGAAAAACAACACATGGCGAAGCAGACCTCTCCTTCTCGCCCGCTGCTCCCCTCAACAGTGTATTTCAGTGGATTTGCCTGTTCTGTTCCCCGCTCTGTCACCCCCTGCATCTCTGGCCTATACCCCAGCTCTTGTATGCATAAATAAATAAATCTTTAAAAAAAAAAAAAAAGAATGGACTTTGTTGTCAGGAGCATGGAGTGGTCCATGGATATTGAAACTCCCTAATGTGTGCCCAGCTCACGATCTGGGTCATTTATATATCTCCATGTATCTGCCTGTTGAGCCCTATGGCCGCTGCGCTCCTGGTCCAGGCCCCAGCAGTGGTGTGGGCTTCCCCTCCTGTCACCTTGTCTGAGGCACCCCCTCCCTCTCTCTGAAGGTGTTGGCCAGGTTGTGCTACAGGTTGCCGCGGCCACCAACTGCAAACATCACTATGGCGTCGAGAAAGCTGACATCCCAGCCAAGTACGCGGAGGTGAGTGTTCCAGGGTGCTGGTGTGTGTGTGTGTATGCATGAGTGAGAAAGAGAAGTTCAGTTCTGTGTGTTTTCAAAAGGCGGTTCCAGAGTGTGCTTAATGGTCCTGCCAACCAAGGGCTGCAGCCTCATTCTCCCCATGTACTCTCTTACCACTTCTGCCTGATTCTGCAGAAATGGAATTGTGGATGGAGGATGGGGCCGCTGGGGTGGACGTTGAAGACTGCAGGGTTATTTCGAAGGACCTTCCCCTGTCTCCTGGCTGCCTAGGTTTCTGACAGGCTGTCTGGTTTTTCTTTCCCTTGTAGACCATGGACCGAGAATTCAGGAAGTGGATGAAATGGTATGGAAAAAAGCATGCAGAATACACAGTGAGTGCCATCGCTCCATGCCCCTGTGGCTAATGTTCGCCAGCCCAAGTCCCCTGCATCCCCTCTGACCCGCCGTGCTTCTCCCATGGGATCCTTTCTGGCCCCCTGGGCCGGTCCCACGTGGAGCAGCGTGTGTGGCACACAGGCCACGCATGAGCCCTGGCCCTGGCCGGGGGTGTGGCGTGGGGGATGGACAAAGGCCACTCATCCCCTCCAGGATCGAGTGCTGGAAGCCCTCCTTCCTCCCTTTCTACCTCTTGACCACTTTTTTGGTTCCCTCTCCTTCTCAGGGGATCTCTTGGGGAGTCCAGCTCCTGCTGCCCTTTGCTCTTGGGGAACACTTGCTTTGTGCATTTTTTCTTCTCTGGTACACATGGCTGATGCCTCCACAGTGCCCACCAAAAGTGGGTCATATTTGGAGCTCTTATGGGGTCGTTCCCCATAGCCTTGTGCACAAGTGTTAGCTGCTGTAGAGGAGGCAGGATGTGGCAGGAACAGCCTCTAACCTGTTTGTGGGCCGGTGGTGGACAGAAAGGGGAAGCTTTTAGGAAGCGGCAGGTTCCTTCCAGACAGCTTCTAGAAGTAATGCAGCGCTGCTGTCTTCCCAGGCTCCTTCCTGCTCTGTGCCCCTTCTTCAGCACCACAACCTGGTATTGTGCAGATGAGCTGGTGGTCCTGAGTATGGGATACTCTTTGGTGACAAGCTCACCACTCCTGTTACGGTGTTGGCCACTTGGATTTTCATACCTCCTGCACTTAAAAAAAAACCAGAAAGCTTGGTGTCCTTACACTTGAGTAGCGGTTCCACGCCCTGGTGTGGCCAATTGCCCTAGCCCTGGCAGTGACACTCCTACAAACATGGTCTGTTCCTGGCAGCCTCGAGTGCTTCCACCTCCCATGGGCTCTGCATTCTTTATCTACGACCTTTGTAATCAGTGCGCGGTGCTCTGTGCTGTGTGCAGAAGTGGAGAGTGTGAAGGAAAGTAGTTCTCTTGCTGCTTCCCAGGACCTTGGGCCTGACTGGGGCTGCTCCACTGCTTTTGTGCTTCTTAGTCCGGGTCCGTGTTTGGAGAACCTTGAGGGGTCCTGCTTCTGCTGGGAACAATGTACTCTTTGAGATTAGCTGCACCTGCTGTGTGTGCTGAGCTGCCCCTCGGGTGGCCTGTCTTCCTGGGGGACCAGCCCCGTGAAAGTTCCTTTTCTGGCAAGACTCGGATTTGGGGAGCAAGCTCCCCTGGCTCCTGGTTGCCATTCAGTCTCACTCACTCAGCCTGGCCTTCATCTGCTGAGGTTCTTTGGGCTGCATTCCTGGATTTTCTGTTTTCTCCTCCTGCCTGGGATTCTGTATCCACTTCTTAAAATGCGCTTCCGTGTTCGAGAGGCCACCGTTGACCTCTACCAGTTTCTTGTATTGCCTGGAAATAGCCGCTGCGCATTCTCTACCCGCCAGGTGACTGTCAAGACCAGACCACTGTCCAGACCAATCCTTGGCCTTTCTTTTCTCATCTCCATTCATTAGGTGCCACTACCTGGGTTTAACCTGGGTGCTGACAGCCAGTGTGTGCTTTGTCTTGAAGGCTTCTGACACCTGGTCACTAGGCTAGAACGTCTGTCCCATGGGACGATGACTGTCGATCTGGAACTGATGTTCCTTATATTGTGAGGGAGACAGGATAAATCTCGTGGTTGTAGACTGCAAATGGATTGGGAGACAGGAAAGAAGAGGTTTACTGTTGCTTAGAGCACCCCAATAGTTTCTTTTGTGGATAGTGCTTTTGGTATTGTATTTAAAAGTCACTGTCAGGGCCTCCCCTGTGGCGCAGCGGTTGAGCACTGGGTTGCGAAGCTGCCCGCAGCCTCTGCGGCGCTGGTTCGATCCCCGGCTGCTCCCCGGCCACCGGAGGAGGGTCCCACATGGCGCGCAGACCTCTCCTGCCGCCCGCTGCTCCCCTCAGCAGTGTCCTTCGGTCCTTCTGCCTGCTCTGCTCCCCGCTCTGGCTCTGGTGAGTTCTCTCACCCTCCCGCGCTTCTGACTGTACCCAGTGCTTGTATGTATGTATCAATCAATCAATCAATAAATCTTTAAAAAAAATAAATAAAAGTCACTGCCAATCTTGAGTTCATCTAGATTTGCTTTATAATATCTTTTGGGAGTTTTTCATTTAGGTCTGAAATCTGTTTTAAGTTAGTTGTGTTGTTTTTCTTTTTAAGATTGGCTTATTTATGCATACAAGAACTAGGGTGCAAGCCAAAGGTGTGGAGGGTGAGAGGATTCACCGGAGACAGAGTGGGGAGCAGAACATGCAGACTGACTGAAATACACTGCTGAGGGGAGCAGTGGGGAGTCAGCAGAGGTCTGCTGTGCCATGTGGGTCAGTTCCCTAGCTGGGGATCGAACTCATGCTGCAGAGGCTGCTGATAGCTTTAGAGTGCTGAGACTTAACCCCTTGTGCCACCAGGGAGACCCTGTTTTAAGTTAGTTTTTGTGAAGGGTGTTAGGTCTGTGTCTAGATTCATTTCTCTTTCTGTGTGTATCCCGGTGCAACTTGTTGCAAAGGCTACCTTCCTTCATTGAGTTGCCTTTGCTCCTTTGTCAGAATACTTGGATCTATTTATATGGCCTCTGCACTCTGTTCTGTTCCTTTGGTTGACTTGTCTGTTCTCTGCCGACACCACACTATCTGGCTGTGGTTCCACAGGAAGTTTTGGAGTCGGATAGTGTCAGTTCTTGGCTTTGTTCTCCTTCAGCATTATCTGGGCCTTTTTTTTTTTTTAGTGTTTTTTTTTTTTAAGATTTATTTATTTATACAAGAACCAGGGTACAGGCCAGATGTGCGGGAGGGTGAGAGGATTCACCAGAGACAGAGTGGGGAACAGAACAGGCAGACTGACTGAAATACACTGCTGAGGGGAGCAGCGGGCAAGACAGGAGAGGTCTGCCGCGCCATGTGGGATTCTTGCCGTCCGGCCAGGATTGAACCCATGCTGCAGAGGCTGCGGACAGCTTTACAGTGCGGTGCTCAACTGCCTGCGCCACGGGGGAGGCCCTGTCTGGGTCTTTTTCCACGTAACTGCAGTCAGTTTCTTGAGATCCTCTGAATTGCTTGTTGTAATACAGGTTTGATTAAATATGTAGATTATGATAGGAATAACTGACAATTTGACATTGTTGAGTCTTCCTGTTCATGAACATGAAACATCCCTCCAGTTACTCCATTCTTTGTCTCCCTTCCTGTGAAATTCTCCTTAGACAGGTTGATGCATATACTTTGTTAGTTTTGTACCTAAGTATTTCATGCTTTGCGTGCTGGGAGAAATGGTATTATATTTAATTTCAAGCTCCACTTGTTCATTGCTGATCTATAGAAAAACATTGTTCCTTTTATATTTTCCTTATTACTACCTAGTAATGCCTTTATCCTGTAACTTCCTTTTTTTTTTTTTTAAGATTTATCTATTTATTTATACAAGCACTGGGTACAGTCAGAAGCGCGGGAGGGTGAGAGGATTCACCAGAGCCAGAGCGGGGAGCAGAGCAGGCAGAAGGACCAAAGTACACTGCTGAGGGGAGCAGCGGGCGGCAGGAGAGGTCTGCGCGCCATGTGGGACCCTCCTCCGGTGGCCGGGGAGCAGCCGGGGATCGAACCGGCGCTGCAGAGGCCGCGGGCAGCTTCACAACCCAGCGCTCAACCGCTGTGCCACAGGAGAGGCCCCTGTAACTTCCTTTGATTGCTTTATAGTTCCAGTTTTCTGGCTGATTGAGATTTCGACATAGATGATTGTATCATGAGCAGCGGCAGTTTTACTTCTTCCTTCCCAGTCTGTACAGTCACCTGTTGCTTGATGATGGCCAAGGATGGATCATATAAGTGACCTTAGTGGCTGTACCAAGCGCCTGGTGTGTGGTAGGATGTGCCATCCAGGTTTGTGTCATTACCCTTTGCAGCGTTTGCACAGTGATGACCCATGCAGTGGTGTCTTTCGCAGGATGCATCCGAATTGTTAGACTTTCTGTTTCCTCGTCTTGTCTTGTTGCACCGGCGGGGCCTCCCAGTCCAGCGTGCGGAGCCTCCTTGCCTTGTTCCGCTCCTCCTGGGAAGGCCTGTTTTTCTCACTGGGAAGCCGCATGGTGACTATAATGTTCATGCATGTTCTTTATCAGATTGCAGAAGTCCCTTCTAGTCTAGCCTGCTGGGGTTTGCCAAGCGCTTTTTTCCTTATGTTGGTATGAGCTCGTGACTTTTCTTCTTGGCTTTTCCTCTTGGCTTATTCCCCATGGCCCACCGCTCAGGGTGTATCCTGTAGCACCAATTTCCACACTGGGGGTGAGTCCATTTGGTTGTTTCTTTAGTGCATTTCACATTGTTGCAACTCATGTGTGGTCTAGTTTTGTTGAGGGGTCTGCACGTTTGTCCATTAGGGGTCCTGGGCTGTGCTTTCCTTTCCTGTGATTGTCCAGTCTTGGTGTCAGCGTGCAGCCGCCCTGCAGAGTGAGTGAGGAAGGGCTCCCTCTGCTTCTCTCTGTTCCCTGGACCAGGACTTACATGTCATAAGGGCTGCTCTCTCCCTTTTCTTGGTGGAATTTCTTACATGATTCTCTGCCTACTCTTGTCCTCTGCACCTGCAGTTCTTGGCATTTGTCACTTGGGCTGCACTTTCAGTCAGTCCATTTGGCTTTTGTTTGTGGGGTACTCCTTCCCACCGGGTGGCCCGTGACCCTGGTGTGCCAGCTGCTGGTTCCTAGCAGGCCTGCCATTTCCCCCAGACTTAATAACTTCTGCAAACACGTGTTTTTCAGTTCCGAAGACTTCCTGCATCTGGTTGGAGAGCCAAACAGGTCCACTCACGTAATATAAACGTGCTTATGACCTGGGTCCTAGAATAACTCCGCTGGATTCCCAAGGGACCTCCAGTGCTTCTTGGAGCTTGGATTAGCTTTTGGTGTGGTCCTGGTGGCTGGAGGGGATGCCAGGAGGCTGGTGTGGGTTGCGCGTCCTGGGTTGGTCATTTCTCCTGGTCACCACCAGGTGGCAGTGACCCGTCTCGGGGTGTTTGGGAGTCAGTGATCCCTATCCCTTGGCCATGGGAAGGGCTCCCTGCTTGGAAACCAGTTACCAGTTGATTGTTTGGGCCTTCTGGGCTGTGGGGTTCTCATAGCCATGACGTGGCCCCTTCACAGGGCTGGGAGCAACTCTCAGCTGAAAGGGCTCTGCTAGTTCCAGCCTTGGCAGTGACAGGTTTATGAAACCAGCTGCTTAGGACGCCTCATACCTGTTCTCTGTTCCTAGAGTGTTCTGTTTGATATCACCCTGTACCGGGAGGGGGAGCTGGAGTCTGGGTCTGGCTCCTTGATGCCCAGATTGGCGGGAATGTGTATCCTGGTTCCTTTCTGTGGCTTGACAAGATGCCTGGTTGGCAAGCTGAGTCCTGCCTCCTGTTACTTAAGAACTGAAGAGAAAAGCAAGCCAACAATTGCCTAAAAATAGCCAAATGTACTTTTCCGTACTCCAGAGCCTGCTGGTTGAGACCCAGGGTCCCCCGTGGCCCACCTCTCCCTCCCTCCCCCACATAGGCTCCGTTTTTTCCCTCCTCCCCGAACCTCATGTTCCAGGCTTCTGCTCCTCAGGGAACTCCTGATTAACCTCTGCTTGTCTCTTCCCAATCCCACACCAGTTGTTCCAGTGGCCAGGCTTTTCCTGCTGCCCCGTCCCTCCTCCTTCCACTGCCTTTTGCCTGTAGGCCCTTTGCTCCTCGGGGTGCCCCCCTACCCATGAGATGCGCTGTCTACTTCCTCCCCCCTGCAGCAGTCAGGCCTCCCCGGGCCCACACAGCATGCAGCCTTCCTGTTCCCCGCACCGTTGTCTCTCGTGGCTTCTGCTTGATCTGGCACAGAGCGAGCGGGTCCTACTTGGCAGGTCTCAGATGTTGAGAGGTCACACCACAGGTGGCCTCAGTGTCATGAGGGGAAGGTGCTGGTGCTGCTGTGGCCTTGCCTCTTGCTCAGACACTTTCTCCTTTCCCACCTTCCTTGGGTGGTTGTGGGATAAGAGCTGCCCCTGAAGGTTTGTCCACATTCGCATGGCCTAGTTTTGCCCACTGGCAGTTGGGAAGGTGCAGAGTGCCTGTGTGGGTGCCTTCTGAGGACAGGCACTGGCATTTTGGAGCATTGTGCGCTTGCACGCTCTGGACTCACCCCCTGGCTGCGGGGCACACAGCCAGGCTGAGTGTATGGTTTGTAGTGCTCATGGTCAAGTCCCAGGTCAGCTGAGGGCAAGTCTCGGATCCTTGGATCCTTGTAGGGCTTCTCAGTGGCTGCCGCCAGGTGGTGTATCCAGCTCCTTCACTGTTCAGGGTGTGCCTGCTTCAGTCTCCCCTATGAGGGCTTGCTTCACAGGGAGCTTACTCTCCCCTCCACTTAGAGAACACATGGAGGCATCTGGGAAAAGTCTGGTAAGCCAGGGCGATGGGGACAGATCCTCATGCCTGTGCTGTTGACCCCAGACCAGAGCGTCTCGTGGCCTCCTTGCAGAACGATGGCTACACCCCTGAGGGCTTTAGGCCGCATGGTGGCATCTCATGTCCTTTCCCCTCATGCGGTTCTCCATAGATGGGGTCTTGTTCCGCTGGGTCCAGTCATGGGTCCTGGGCAGGGAATCGGGACTAGAAGGCCAGGTTAACTCAGGCACACTGTTGACTCATATGCAGGCCGGCCTTGGCCGTCACTCTCCTGGGCTGGTCTCTTGGCCCACCTGTGCTGAGAACAGCCCTGGTGTGGGCAGAGCAGGAGAGTGGCAGTTTCCTTGCCTTGATAAGGCCCGAGTCAAGCAGTGGCATGATGGCTTGAAACAGTATGACTTGGACAGGAAAATTTGAAGGCAAGAGAGAGGCCAGCCATATCAGGAGGACCTATTTTGGGGTCATCAAGGCTATACCCCAGATACAGGAGATGTTAGAGGACCCCCCCCCCCGAGAGCTAAGTGGATGGCCACCCTCACTGCTCTGATTTATTCAGGGAAAGGACAGAGCAACATGAGCAAAGGGGAACGGCGTGTGGGGTGGGTCTGTGAAGACCAAGTAGAAATTTCCAGAGTTCTCCCCCATGGGGTTGCACAGGACACACTTAATTCCCTTAAAATGAGCCTAAACAGCACATGGAGGTGTGGTCTCTGGGAGGCTAAGAGGGGTTCAGTGCCTAGGGTGCTCACTGGGGCCGGTCACGCAGGCGCCTCTGCCTGGCAGATCCCAGACTGCAGGGGGAGAGCAGGTGCTGGGCATGGACCATCTGTTTGCACAGATGGGTTAAGGCCACGGGAACCCTGTTAATGAGGCAGGAAGCCCTCAAAATCCAGTCCCCAGACATTGTCAAGGGCTACCTTACCGCCAGCCTTCCCGAAGATACCACCTATGGTGGTTTCTCTGCGCATTAACGGATGTAGGTTTTACAGTTGCTTTGTTTGCAGGCCTCAGGCCTCAGTACAGTGGGACAGGGTCTTCTTTCCTCTGTGTCCTGAAAGGTGCTCTGAGCGGGCACTGGGCTCCTGCCCTCTCTGTGAGGAGGTGGGTTATTTCTTGTACCCTGACACCACAACTGCCATCTCCCTGTGGCTGTGTCTGTCCCAGCCATTTCTTGTCAGTGGACTCACCCAGTGCGGCTTCGTGTGTCTGGCTTCTCTCCCTGAGCGGTGTGTTTTCAGGGTCCCTTCCTGTGGTGGTGAGTGTTGGCGCTGCCCCCTTCTCTTGAGTAATATTCCAGGGTACATTGTTTGCCCATTTATTCCCTGAAGGACACTTGAATTGTGTCCACTTTTTCGTGGTTGTGAGGTGTGCTGTTGTGAACGTGCATCTTCAGTTCTCCTGGGTAGACGTCGAAGAGTGGTGCTGATGGCCTTTGTGAACAATCATAAAAGCAGATTTTTGATTTGTGAATGTTACAGTCTGGACAGTCAGGTTAATAGGAACTGTGTTCCCTTGAACATATTTTGGCCCTGAGATAAATGATATTTGTCTGTTAATAAAATACTAGAGCAGGTGTTGGGGTTCCAAGGGCAGCGCTGTTTGTGGGAAACAAAGCAGTAGAACCCAAGGTCAGGCCTCAAGGCCACAGTAGAGACGCGTCCTTGATAGAAACAGGCCCCCTTCCTGTTCTGTGAGCAGTGGTTGTGCTGCCCCTGAAGACCACATGGAGGTGTGTGGCCTGGTGGTGCTCCCGGCGCTTCTACAGGCGTGAGGGAGTTCCCGTCATCACCTTGCTGCCATGCTGGCTGGGGTGCTGACCACACCCTGGGGCTCCCTGCTGGCAGGGAGGATGTGGTGCCATGTCTTTCTGGAGGCTTCTCTAGTGTTACTCAAGTGCTCTCAGCCCTCTTTGTTCCCTGGTCCCTGCATCTTGCACTCCAGGATGACTCTGGAACTCTGGGCCCCTCCTCTCGTGGCCAAGGAGTGACCACGTGTGTGGTGTGGGAGCTTCTGATTTGTTGCTCTAGCTTGTCCCGGACCGTCCCTTCCTCCCCATAGAGCTGCCATGGTGTTACCTTGTCCTTCCCACCTCAGCAACTTTGCTCATTTCATCTATTTTTTGCTGGGTGGGGCAGGGTGGAGGGCATAGACACCCAGCGAGGCCCACCCGAATAAGCCTTGTTCACGTTATCTTCTTGCAGCTGGAAAGAGGCGATTTTCTCTCAGAAGAGTGGAGAGAGCGGATCGCAAACACAAGGTATGTCCAGGGTGAGTGGGCACTCAGGTGGGCAGCACAGGACTGCCAGGAGGGTTGCCATAGGTCCCTGTGTGGTGGCTCTGGTGTTCAGCGTGGCTTCTTTCCAGCACAGAATCGGTCAGATGGAAGCAGTAGCGGGTCCTGCTCTCCCCCAGGGTCCCTTGGGGTGTCTCTGGGCCTGCCCCCTTGGGGATGTGCCACCTGACTTTCATCGCTGCCTGCGGCCCCTCCCCCACTTGGCCTGGCATCTGGGCTGTTTCTCCACGTGACAGTGTTGAGCCCCTGGAGTGGCCCCAGCCCTCTTGCTCACGTCCCACGCTTGCTGGCCATTGAGCTCCTCTGCCGCAGTGGCCGCCTCAACCCTTGAGGCCAGGTTCCACCGCAGAGCCCTTCCCTGCTCATGTGGGGGTTGGAGTGCCTGCACAGGGGGTGCTCACACTGGGGTGCCCTCAAGGGTTGGGGGCTCTTATGCAGGAGTGCTTGCCCAGGGGGTGCTCACCCGGGTTGCTTACATGGGGGTGTTCTCATGGGTGCTCATACAGGGCAAGGGTCCTCACATGGGACACTTAACATAGGTCCTCTTGTGGGCTGGGGGCACTCCATGGGGGTACCTCAGCGGGTGGGACACCCAGAGCAGTGAGGGGTGCTCATGGTTGCAGTGACTCTGGCAGGCCTCCCTGCTCTGCTTTAGCTGAGCCTGTGGTGTGTGCTCTGTCCCCACCATGATTCTTGGGGCAGGGAAAGAACAGGTGTTCATCTTTCAAATATGGTCCCTCTTCTACTTCCCTGAGAATTTCTTTCTCTTTTTCCCCTTCTTTGTTTGGTTGCTAGGAACAGAATTCCCCTGAGAATTTCTTATCTAGTCAGACCCACTGTCCCCCATTGGCCAGGTGCTCCCCCTTTCCTTGAGAGAAGTCCTCTCACCCCATGAGTGGGGTCCTGGGCTATGCCAACACTGGTAGGCCAAACCCTGCTTTAGGGACGGCTCCTCCCCACACTGCCAGCAGCATACAGGGTGCACCTGCCTTGCCCTTGTTCTCCCTTGCCCGTCGTCTGCTTGATGGGGAGTAGCCTGTGGCTCTGCGTTGCAGGCTGGGGGGACCTCTTCTTTCTGCGAACAGTGTATGTCCAGGACTTGGAGGCTGGAGGGCAGTGTGCCCGGGTGCTCTGTTTATGTTGCCTCAGCTTACCTCTGACTCCTTGTGTCTCAGCACCTCCTTCTGCAGCCTGTGTCAGGGTTTTACCTGGCTCACACCTTCTCACTGCCTCTGTCCCCCTGAGACTCTGGGTCTACTCAGAGCATCTTGTGGGTACTGGCTGCCCTGGGGCCTGGCCAGGCGAGGTCGGTGGACCACCGGGAGTGTGCTGGTCCTTCTTCAGCGCCTCTTCCCTGCAGGCTTCACTTTGCCCCATCTGTTGCACTATTAGGCCCCCCTTACCATTTTCTTTGCTTGCTGCTGCAGTAGCTTCCAGACTAGCCCTGTGTTCGGTCACAGTCAGAAGAGGCAATGACCCTCTTTGCAGTCCTGCCATCCATGGCACACTTCTTAGCCTGCAGAGGTCTCGGCACTTAGACGCGAACCCCATAGTACTATGTCCAGGGTGGCCTGCCTCATCTCTGGGGTTTCAGACGAACTGGTCGCATGGATGTTTTCTGAGAGGATTCATTTCCGCTGGCAAGAACCAGGCCAGAATGGGTGGGGGTGAGGGAACAGAAAGTGGGTCCTGGCTACCCTAGTGAGAGGCTGTTAGCTGAGGTTCCTGAGGTCATTTAGTGGCAGAGACTGCGAGAAAGTGAGAGAAAACCCTCCAAGCACTTTGCTGTAGGCATTGTGGTGGTTTACACTCACACGTGGCTCCCTCCAGTCATGCTGCCTTCCTGCCTGGGTGTCTGGTTACCTTTTGTGCTGCCTGCATCCCAACCCCAGGGAGATCCAAGGGCAGGTGGGGCCACCACCAGTTGATGCAGGAAGTGGGGAGGGGCAGCAATGACCTGGGGGTCACTTTGGCCAGCACATGTCCATCTTGGCTCTTCGTACTTGTCAGGAAATTTCTGAGGTGTTGAGTCAGCGACAGACTGAGCAGCCTGTTAGGTTCTGCAGGGCCAGGGACTGTTGCCAGGTGGGCAGAGGTGGGACCAGCAGAGATGGGGCGGGCAGGATTGGGTGGAGGTGGTGCAGTCAGAGGTGGCAAATGGCAGCTAGGCCTGCCTGCACTGTGCTGGCAGAGGAGTCAGTGGGTGTGTATGTACTGGAACTCTGTATGCTGTGCAATGGAACTTCAATTTACTGAACTGGAATATTATTTTGCAGTGTTATATTTGTGAATAACTTTGCCTTTGGTCCTGAGGTGGATCACCAGCTGAAGGAGCGATTCGCAAACATGAAGGAAGGTAATGTGTCCCTTCATCATCCGCCTGGACGGTGGGACTGCGGAGTTCTTATAAGCAATAGTGCCATCAGTCTTGGTATCTGATGAGAAGGCCCCAGGCAGGGGCTCCTTGTCACCTAGGTGGGGTGACCCTCTTGGTTAATTGGGGAGTGGGTTGATCCCATCTGCTCAGGCACCTGGGCTGGGCTGGCCAAATAAGCAGGGAGTTTGCATTGCCCATAACCATGTGTAACTTCTTAGTGCAAGGCTGTTCCATGTCACACTGAGGTTCTCTCATCATCCATCTGAGATTCTGAGCTGAGTGGAATTCCCTTTTTTTCTGGCTACCCTACCTTGTGGCACATGAGGGTATGCGGGCCGGCCCCTGGCCTCATGGTCTTTCCAGTTGGGATACTTACTGCTCCCTTCCTTCTGCCTCAGCACCAGTCTAGACCTGGGTGGGTATCAGGCAAGGTGAGGTGGCAGGGCTGCCCTTCCTGCATTAAGTGTCAGAATTGTGGCCCGGATTTTCCCAGCCACTGATGCAGCTTGAAAACCACAGTTCTCATGGTTTCCTGAAGGACTTGTGAAGGCTTAGGTAGACTTTGTTTTCCCTTGCTTATGAAAACCTTCAGTTTGGAATTGAGCTGCTGCTTTTTTGTGACACAGGTCCTTCTGTTGGAATTTGGCCTTTATAGGGGTGGTGTGGGTCAGCCTCTGAATCCCCTCCATGCCTGGGGTGGCGGAGGGAGGGGCAGTGCCTGCTCCTTATCTTTCTTTCTTTCTTTCTTTTTTTTTTTTTTAATTTTCTAGAGGCATGTCTTATTTCTTTACTTATTTGTTTGTTTGTTTTGTTTTTGGTTTATACATGTACTGGGTACAGTCAGAAGCGCGGGAGTGTGAGAGAATTCACCAGAGCCAGAGCAGGGAGCAGAGCAGGCAGAAGGACCGAAGTACACTGCTGAGGGGAGCGCGGGTGGCAGGAGAGGTCTGCGCGCCATGCGGGACCCTCCTCCGGTGGCCGGGGAGCAGCCGGGGATCGAACCGGCGCCGCAGAGGCTGCGGGCAGCTTCGCAACCCAGCGCTCAACCGCTGCGCCACTGGGGAGGCCCTGCTCCTTATCTTTCTTAAAGATGTGGGTGGAAGAAAGGATACTCTGTCCAGGTCCTCAGGAGTAAAATTAAAATGCCTCCAGGCCCAGGTGACAAATGTGAAGTGTTTTTTTTTTTTTTCCCTATGCTGTGCCCAATACATCCCTCACGTGCTCAGAATATCAGATGGATAAGAGCACCAGTTCTAGAATCCTTCTCAATAGACAGGAGCTAACTAGTTCTATTTGAACACCCATCCCTGATTTTGTAACTACCCCTGGGTCCTGGGTGTGTGGGGCTGTGACTCAGTGTAAGAGAAGATACCCGATAAGTTCCGGGAAAGGGCAGCTAGAAGAGCTGACTTCTCCGGGCACAGGCTGCCTGGGCACTATTGTAGGTGCTATGGGTAGACCCCAAACCTCAACTTGTCTGTCCCTGCTGTCACTGAGCAGGTAGAAGTGGGTGGTGTCCAGAGTGCCCTCCACCCTCCTGCCTGGCTTTGATCTGCAGGCTGGGCAACGAGTCACTTTCTCCCTAGGGAAGGTCAGGAGCAGTGAAGCCCTGGGGTCACTAGAACCACTCTGGCTGAGATCTGGGCGGTCAGGAACATGGGAATGAGTCCACTGCTTGTGCATTCCAGCTTCCAGCCAAGTGCTGGGACCCGTGGTCCCCAGCTGCCGGGATTGCACATGCCTGCCTCCACTGCTTGGCTGGGCGCGGCCAGCGTCCTCCGTGCAGCCCAGACCTGACACCTGTTCTCCTGCAGGACCTCCCAGTGTGGGGGTGAGGGAACCCCTCCAGGTCCCCAACCGTGGCCTTGGCCCATGTGTACCCTGTAGTCAGTGCCCCATGCCTGGGTGCACTGAGCCCTGAGTGTCTAGGGGAAGCCCTGGATATGGCTGGAGAGGTGGACCCTAGTGGCCCATAGCTATCCCCATACTTCTTGAGTATATCCCATGATACAAGGGGAGTCACCTGCCCTTTAGGGGGGCCCAGAAAGTGTCCTTCCTCCCCAGTTAGTCAGAGTAGCTTCTAAAGCCCACTGCCGTATTCTGAATTTCAGGCAGCCTAATGTATCTGCCCCAGGGGCGCCTGGGTAGGGAAGGCCTCTCAAACAGCACGATCCCAACTTCTGAAAATATTTCAAGTAAGCGCAAGAGTTGAAGGATCACCCAGCACCAGCCCTGAGAGTTTCTAACTGCTGTGAGCACACGTGTGTGAGAAGCACAGAGTTGTTTCTAATAATTTCATAGGAAGGTGTTGCAGATGTCTGCCCTAAGCATGTCCCCATCTCTGTAGCTGTCAGAACTCTGCTTTTGGCTGCTGCTTTCTCTAGCCTCCACAAGTTATCTTTGAGCCCCAAGTTGCTCAGGACCAATCAAAAGTCCTTTAGTTTTGATGCCGCCATTGGACCTTACTGTCTCCTGAAATGTTGTCCATTCCAGACTGCACCCCCAGAGTGAGCTGACCTTGCCCTTCCACGCTCTGCTGGGGAGCCTGCTGGGTGGAGCTGTCTGCCTGCACTGAGGTCACTGAGTGTGTGGCCCTTCAGTGGTGCCCTTGTGGTGGGGACGTGGTGGGATGGTGGTCAGGTTAGAGCGCGCAGTCAACTTGAGGGTTCGGTGTCTGTGGTATGACACCTAAGGCACTCCTGGGGCTCCAGTCCCCCTGTGGGAGCCCTCTGGCTCATGGCTGTGCCCTGGCATCTGGCCCAGTGCCCCAGGCACTCACATTTCTGGGTGGAAGGCTGTGCCTGGGCATGCCCCACCCCCGCCCCAGCCAGGGAGCCTCCTCCCCTCCTCCTGAGGAGGATGGTATTCAGGAGCCAGGGTGGGTGCTGGGGGGCCAGAGGGTCATGTACACGGGCAGAGGTTCTTGTGTGCATGTGTGTGTGTGCACACTTAGATGGGTTCATCCAATTCTTCCAACTTAAATGTAACTTTTTTTCTTTTTTTTAAAGATTTATTTATTTATACAAGAACCAGGGTATAGGCCAGATTCGCGGGAGGGTGAGAGGACTCACCAGAGACAGAGCGGGGAAACAGAACAGGCAGACTCATGAAATACACTGCTGAGGGGAGCAGCGGGCAAGACAGGAGAGGTCTGCCACTCCATGTGGGTCCCTCGCTGGGCGGGCGGGATCGAACCGGCGCTGCAGAGGCTGTGGACAGCTTCACAGCGCTGCGCTCAACCACCTGTGCCACCAGGGGAGGCCCGGGTTTTTTTTTAAATCTTTTTTTTTTTTAATGTTTTCTTTATTTATACAAGAACCAGGGTATAGGCCAGAGGCGCGGGAGGGTGAGTGGATTCACCAGAGACAGAGTGGGGAACAGAACAGGCAGACTGACTGAAAGACACTGCTGAGGGGAGCAGTGGGCGAGGCAGGAGAGGTCTGCTTGCCATGTGGGTTGCTGGTGGGGATTGAACCGGCACTGCAGAGGCCGTGGACAGCTTCACAGCACTGCGCTCAACTGCCTGCGCCACCTGGGAGGCCCCTTTTTTTGGTTTTTATATTTGGCTTTCTTTTTTCCTTATCCTAAGAAGTTTGGCTTCTCCCAGTGTTAACTTTTGTACTAATAGTGCTTTCTTACAGCACACGCGACAGTTCCATGACCATGATAAGTGAAGGAAGGGTTCCTCTCGGTTCTTTATCAAAGGGCTATCTGAAATAACCGGGTCGACAGTCTGGCTTTGGCTGGGGGTTATGGGGTCTTCCCTTTCTCTCAGGCTCCGCCCTGAGTGCTTCTGAGCGCGGCTATGCCCTTCCTATGCCCCTGTCTGCCCTTGCATCAGCTGTCTGGGCCGCCATGTCTGAACATGGGGAGCCCCCTGGTGGGCTTGCTGAATCCACAGTCGTGGCCATGGGTTTGTGGAGCCTCAGGTGTGTTATGTAGGAAAGTGACTTGCTGTTGTTCCTGAGTTGTGCTTCTACTTGAGAGAAAACAGAGCTCTCAAAAAAGTCCTTGCACTCTTCTGTGCTCTGTGTGCTTTTTTTTTTTTTTTTTTTTTGGAGCTTTTCCTTTTTCCCATTCAAATTGCATTTTCATTTTGTGGGCACAGATATTTCCCTGTGAATGATGATAATCGGGTTTTCTGTTTCAGGTGGCAGAATTGTGTCCTCAAAACCCTTTGCCCCACTAAACTTCAGAATCAACAGTAGAAACTTGAGTGGTAAGAAACTTGTATTGCTGAATTATTCACGTGCATAGCTTCAAGCATCTGATATGTCTCGGTGCGGGCTCCTTCCCCTTACCTCTGAACTGGGTCATTCCCTGTGGGTGGCAAGCAACATCTCTGGCCTCACCCACTCAGTGCCAGGAGAGGAACGTCTTGGTGTGACTACAAATGTCTCCAGATGTTGCCTCATGTCCCCAGGGTAGGAATCTGAGACCCCCATAGCCTGATAGGAGGTTGTAAAGACTTAGAGGGAGTTTTTTACAAAGCTGCTTCGCCTTCTCATACCTCTTGGCCTGAGTAGGCAGTAGCCGGTGGGTGCAGAAAGGGCTCAAAGTGCAGGGGACCTGCACAGAGGGACTGACCCCTCTGTACTGTGGGGCCCAGGTGATGTCTTCCACGAAGGCAGTGGAGGAGACTTGGGCTCGTGTTGTGTGGGGTGCTGGCATTCACTGTCTCACACTCCAGATGCTTTCCATCCACCCATTGGGCTCATTGTTACCCTTGGATAAATAAGCACCTTGGGTTGGCAGGACTGCGGTCAGGAGCAGTGCATGCACTGTGCCTTGTTGGCCAGCGTGCTAGTGTCCAGGTGCCTCCTGGCCTGAGACTGGGTGGCCCATGTGAGGTGGTGTGTGCTGGTATCCCCCACCCTACCTGTCAGTAGCATGGAGTTTACCACTTTCTGAGGAAGCTGTGCTAGGAAGTCATAGGAAGTGGCCTTACCTGAATCTCCCTGGTGCATGGAGACCTGGCCCTGACCTGTGCCTGTTCGTGCAGACATTGGCACCATCATGCGTGTGGTGGAGCTGTCGCCGCTGAAAGGTTCCGTGTCCTGGACGGGGAAGCCGGTCTCCTACTACCTGCACACTATTGACCGCACCATAGTGAGTGTCTCTGCCCTGGACCCTGCCCTGGTGATGCCCCTTCTCCCCAGCGCCTCACTTCCGAGGTGATATGTTTGCCCTTCAGCAGGAGTGGGAGTGGGTCAACTTAGGGCTGCTAGTTTGCGCTCCCTTCCTTGCTTTCAGATCGTGTGTAGGGCAGACGGCGTTCCAAGTGGTCACAGAGGGCTGCCTTTAAAAAAAAAAAAAAAACATCAATAGAAAGGATTACTTAGCTCTAAATTCAAAAGGTCTGTACCCAGTTTGGGGAAGCTGATAATGTTTAGTACAAGTTTTCTCAAAATTCTGTACAAGTTTGCAGTCAGTAACCTAGAACTGGGCAGTTTTCCCCTTCCTCTGCTTCGTGCTTGTTTAATCTCATTTACACATGTAGGTTCAGCAAGGCGCAAAGGCCCTGAGTGGAAGCTGGTTTTGTCAAAATACTTTAAAGTATTTATTCTAAAGTTTTTGTAACACATAGGCACAGACTTGCACACATAAGTGCCCTCAAACCTTGGGTAATGTTCTACTTAATCAGTGCTGATTTACAAAAAAAAAAAATCCATAAACCTAAGTGTTTCTAGTCGTGGCATACCAGGCCTCGAGAGGGATGACTTATAGCTATTAGAGCTTTCATGCCAGCACTCCCCTACTGAGAGTCCAAAGTTCTCTACTTGGTGCTAAAAAGGATAAAAAAAAACCAAAAAACCAAAAAAACTTTATTCTGTATAATTCCTGCCCTCTGTGATCTCACTTATAATTTTATTGAAAAGAAAGCTCACAAGTAAATATATCTCAAAGCTAAATGAAATAAGCAAAAATAGAACAAAGAGTTAGCACAGAGTGGTGGTATAAATTAAAAAAAGGAAATTAGGGGGGCAGTTCTGCCAATAATTTGGGGTTCTTAACTGGTTCAATCACTCTGTGACTTGATTTCCAAATTAATGAAAATATGTGCAAGGTGAGATCCACCATATAGAATGATTGTGACCATGTAAATAATAAATCTAGAATCCGGATGGTTCTCACAAAGAAAAAACAAAGTTGTACTCCTAGATACTTGTGCATCTGGGAGACTTAAAATGCCCGTGACCCTGAGGGCCCCGGTAAATGGAGGAGGACCTGGATGTCAGCTGTGTGTGTCCCTGGTGTGTGTGTGCAGCCATCCAGAAGCCAGGGTTTGTGTCCCAGGACTGACTGCTAATAAGACTTTTTCTTTCTTTTTCCATTTTTAGCTTGAAAACTATTTTTCTAGTCTGAAAAATCCAAAACTCAGGGTAAGAGGATTTTTTTCCCTTCACTTGACATCATGAGTGTGCTGCTTCCCAGATGCTTGATAAAGTTCCCTGTGGCTGTATAAGGGGTGAGGGTGTGGGTGCTATGGCTCCCTCGGGCCTGTCGTGCTCCATGCCTCCCTCTCTATGTCCACCTTTACCAGACAGGCTGGGCCACGCTTCTTGTGAACAACATTTGGGAAGTAGGTTGAATGTGATGGTCTCTGGAAAACGTTTTGGTAATGTGGCAGCTGTGCTGATGTCCAGGACAAGTGAACCGCATGTGTGAGGCGCCCCTGTTGCAGCTGAAACTGTGGCTGTGGAGCCCGTGCTCATTGAGGCCGCCAGTGCTGGTGTGGCCTGTGGTTGCCACAGAATTCAGGGCTCAGTGGCCCACTCTGGTTCTTCGAGGGCTTGCTCTTAGAATGAGCTTCTCCCAACACCACGGCCACCTGTTTGCTCGCCTTCAAGGCTGAGAGGATCTTTGTCCAAATGCTTTTCTTTTCGGACACTCAGACTCGTGTCACTCACTCTTAAGAATGTAAACATGAGCCATGTGTACAAAACATGTCACCATGGGTGCCCAGGCCCCAGTGGGTCCCCGTACCCTGTCTGTCATTTTATTTCCTGGCTCATGGTTAGATGGCTGCCTGGTTTCTTGCTGAGAGATCTGGGGGTGTCTGTGCTCATACACAGCAGACACGCGCATAGCACTTTTGGGACTCATATGATGCCTCCTTTCCAGGAGGAACAAGAGGCAGCTCGGCGACGGCAGCAGCGAGAAAGCAAGAGTAACACGACCACCCCCACCAAGGTGCCCGAAAGCAAGGCAGCCATACCCGCAGACACCCCTCTGGTGAGCGCTCCCTCACCCTGCCCAGGCCTGTGGGGGCCAGGAGGGGGGTGGACACACAATGACTGGAGTGTGTGTGGGGGGGTCCATGTGCCAGCCTAGGTTCCCTGCAGCCTGTGGGGGTGCGTCCTTACCAAAATAGGCCTCTTGTCACTGGCCCTTCTTCTGCTCACTAGGACTCTGGTGGCGAGGAGGAGAAAGCGGGGACGACTTCTGTCAAAAAGCCCTCTCCCTCCAAAGCTCGGAAGAAGAAGCTAAACAAGAAAGGACGGAAGATGGCCGGGCGGAAGCGTGGGCGTCCCAAGAAGATGAGCACTGCAAACCCTGAGCGTAAGCCCAAGAAGAACCAAACTGCACTGGACCTCCTGCACGCGCAGACTGTGTCTCAGACAGCGTCTCCCTCGCCGCAGGGTGAGTCCCCCTACCGGGCCACATGTGATCTTCCTGAACCCTGCTTTCCCTCGCTCTGCGTGGGGAGTCACCGGACACCTCCCTGCTGTTACTTTCCTGTCCCCAGTGTGACTTCGCCTGGGTTGGAGCTGCAAAGGGGCAGAAGCTACTGTGACAGTGTCACTTGCTGTCTGGGTTGGCGCCTGAGTTCTGCCCTGCTGAGGTTGGGGTGTCCCAGGGCCTTGATTCACTCCAGTCTTCCTGAGAGGAAGCTTTCAGGAAGCTCTCCCCCCGTCTCCCGCCTACCTGGCTCTGTAGCAGAAGCAGAAATGTACTAGGGGATTGCTGAGAGGGATGCAGTTGGGTCTTGGGTGGGTGGATAACTTGATTTTTAGAACTGCCAAGAGGCAGTGATGGGACGTTAGAAACTGCAACTCACCTTGAAAATGTTGGGAAGTTCTGCACAGCAGTCTTGAGGCGCTCTCTGGCGTGCGGGTGGGTTGTTGAAACCGGATTGCTGCTGTCTCCACAGATGCGTACAAGTCACCTCACAGCCCATTTTATCAGCTACCTCCCAGTGTGCAGCGGCATCCTCCTGACCAGCTGCTGCTGGCCCCCACCCCACCCGCACTGCAGAAGCTGCTAGGTGAGTGGGCTCTGGGGCTGCAGGTTGGGGGCGGCAGGGGGAGGCTCTGCACGCACATTGAAGAGGTGGTATATCTGACACCATGATTCTTACCCCAGGGGACATTGTGCCATGTCTGAGGACTTCTGTGTGTTGTCCCAGGGCAGGGGGGGTCGCCTGGTATCAAGTGGGTGGGTCCGGGGTGCTGCTATACACCCCACAATGCCTGGGAGGCCTGCAGCCCCTTCCGGAGAACAGCCTGGCCTAGTGTCCACAATACAGGAGAAGGGTTCTGTCAAAAAAGGGCTTGGTACCCCTAGGGAGCAGAACTTTGTCTTGCCTAAGCCAGGCTCCTGCTCACACTGCAGAGATTGGTGACATGGTTCTCAGAGCTTTGAAACTTCGCTCTTCAAATTTTGGAAACATTCGTTTCTCAAGTAAACGTCAATAATATATATTTATTAAAGAAACGTAGCATACTTGATGACTCAACCCCACGTAGTCTTGGGGAGATAGAAAGTTCCTGATGAGGTAGGCAGGAGCCTTGAGGGGCACCAAGCCTGCCTTCCTGCTGGACAGGTGGAGGGGGCCATCATTTCTCTCAAATGGGGGAAACATCTGGGGACAGAGTCCCTTAGACCTTGACGGCAGTGAAGACTCATTTCATTGACATCTGACCGTGACCAACCCAGATTTCAACAAAGATGGGGTTCTGTACTTGTGTTTAAGATGTGCCCCTTTACCTTGATGACCTAATTTGTACCATTGCTGCATTAAAAGCATGTTCCTTGGCTCTCCTAGAATCCTTCAAGATTCAGTACTTACAGTTCTTGGCATACACAAAGACCCCTCAGTACAAAGCCAACCTGCAGCAGCTGCTGGACCAGGAGAAGGTGAGCCCAGCTGTCGTGATTCCCCCGGGAGCGGCATGCGTTCTTGTTTAATCTCATATGGTTTGAGGCTTCAGAATTCTCCAGAAGGGCTGAGAGGAGTGTGCCAGAAGGGGCTCCCCCTTCTCCCACCTGCTGGCCGCCAATGGCCCCCAGCCCCTGTCATGTGGCTGCTTGATGGTGAACTGGCCTGGCTTCTGCTGTGGGTCCCTTTGCTTGGGGTGCTCCCAGACCTGCCTTCCCCGCGCAGAGACGCCGTCACCTGCAGAGTGAGAGATGCCCCAGGTGGCTTCTGTGTTCACGTGCTGCCTCACTGCTGGAGCTGGTGCTGTGAGCAGCAGTAGTCCTTGGCCAGGTCCAGGGGCAGAAATGGAAGGGTAGCCTTTCTGGGTTCCAAGGGTGGGAAGCTTGATCTCTGTGGCTCTTTGTATGTTAATCACTCAAACTGCATCGCTGGCACCACCTTGGGTATGTCCTGGAGAGATTGGCAGTCTCCCCACAGGCGTGCGTCACTGGTAGCCTAGTAGACACGAGGCCTTACTTGCCATGAGAGCAGAGTTCTTCGTCAGCCAGATAGGTTCTGCACCCATCATAGAGATGTGTGGAATGGCCTTCCTTTGAGTGTGTTGGGGTGAGGGGTGGCCAGGGTGCCCTCCTCGCCACCCTGAGTTGCCACCCTCGATCTCTGCAGGAAAAGAATGCCCGGCTGCTGGGTGCCGCGCAGCAGCTCTTTGGCCACTGCCAAGCCCAGAAGGAGGAGATCAAGAGGCTCTTCCAGCAGAAGCTGGATGAGGTGAGACCTTTCCCGCACCCTGGCTTGCCCTAGGAATGTGTGCTCCCAGTGTGGGACGGGGACAGGTGGGGGACCCCTTGTTTCCTCTCCAGTGCTCCTGACTTGGAGAGAGCTCCTGCTCTGGCCCAGTTTTGGGGTTGCAGTGAGGGGCAGCCCAAGTGCCACCCCTCCTGTCCTGGGGTTGTGTCCAGGCATGTGAGAGCTGGGCCCTAGGCCACTGAGGCCTATCCCACTGGTACCCCTTGGTGAAAGCCCACCCTGATTTTGTGTGTCCTCAGTTGGGAGTGAAGGCCCTGACCTACAATGACCTGATTCAAGCACAGAAGGAGATCTCGGCCCACAACCAGCAGCTGAGGGAGCAGACAGAGCAGCTGGAGAAGGACAACAGGGCACTTCGGGGCCAGAGCCTGCAGCTGGTGTGTACCAGGGTGGGCAGTAGAAGTAGTGGGGAGGGGCCCATCGCTCCCCAGAGCCATCTCGGGGGAAGCAGCGCCCTCTGCTGGGCAGTTCAGGGGCTCTCCTCACCCTCCCCACAATGGCTGGGGTCTCATGGCTACGTGGCCTCATCCCCACAGCTCAAGGCTCGGTGTGAGGAGTTGAAGCTCGACTGGGCCACGTTGTCCCTGGAGAACTTGCTGAAGGAGAAGCAAGCGCTGAAGAGCCAGATCTCCGAGAAGCAGAGACATTGCCTGGAGCTGCAGGTAGGGCCCAGGCTGGACACTATAGGTGTCAGGAATGTGACTCACCAAAAGTGTCTTCCTGAACAGTGTTAGTTCCAGGTGTCGTAACCACCTAGACATCTGCCTCAGCAGCCCTGGAAGAGGAGGCGCTGAGGATGTGAACAAGGTTGCCTCCTCACTCAAATTTCCAAGCCTCAGGTTTCCTAAGCACCTCCTAGGGAATCATTTCTGAAATAGTTGCTGGGGAGACTTGTATTTGCACTTAAAAAGAAAGTAGGTTCTCCTTTTGCTGGTAAGAGAACATGTTCATGGAGGTCACCTGGGAAGTGAGAAGGAAGGAGGAAGCCTACTATCTCCAGTTTACTTCGTTTCTCTGTGCGTAACTTTTAACTTACACAAAAGGGAAAAAAAGTCAGGTGGGTGGTGTTGGACTCTTGGTCAGAGTGTCCTTGGGGGCCATGCCCTTTTGTTCCATTCTGTCTCTTCTCCTCCGCACCCCCCCCCCCAACCCAGCCTGGTCCTTCAGTTATGTGCTCTTACACAACACCAGGCTGTGAGCCTCCCTGTGCCCCGGCCTCCGTGCAGGCGAGTCTCCTTGAAGACATGCCCCGGGGCAGCTCTGAGTGCTTTTAGGTCCAACATAAGTCCGGGCTGTCTTCCGATGGACTGTGACTAGGGATCTCCGGCCTACTTCTTTCTCGCCTGTGCTATATCAGGAAAAAGGAGCTTGCTAACCTTATTGCCATGTGTGCCTGCGGGATCAGTCCCATAGGGGAAAGAAGTGGGTTCTGACCCTTCTGTGAGAGGAAGAAATAATACATGTTCATTACTTGGAAACACCCATACAAAACACATACATGCAGAGAAAAAGATGCTCTCCTCCTGTCCCCCCGAGGGAAATGCTCTTTCAGTACTCCACTGTTTTGTGCTCACAGGCCTCCTTTAACAGAAGTGGGTTCCATACCCTCTGAACCCTGCGTTCTTGGGGCTTTCTCTCCATGGCAGGCAGCGCTCATCAGCCAGCTCTGTTCACATGTCTACACAGAGCCTTTGTTTTTTTTCTTTTTTTTTTTTAATAGAGGCATGTTTTATTTATTCATTTGTTTGCTTGTTTGTTTATACATGCACTGGGTACAGTCAGAAGCGCGGGAGGGTGAGAGAATTCACCAGAGCCAGAGCGGGGAGCAGAGCAGGCAGAAGGACCGAAGTACACTGCTGAGGGGAGCAGCGGGCGGCAGGAGAGGTCTGCGCGCCATGTGGGACCCTCCTCCAGTGGCCGGGGAGCAGCCGGGGATCGAACCGGCGCCACAGAGGCCGCGGGCAGCTTCGCAACCCAGCGCTCAACTGCTGTGCCACCGGGGAGGCCCTACACAGAGCCTTTCGACCATGGGCCGCTTGCTGTTTGGGCTTCTCTGTCACATGCAATCACACTGGGGTGTCCTCAAGCCTGGACAGTCCCTTCCGATAGGTTATAGGTGGGACTGGACCTTTGGTGTTGATGAGCCTCCACCCCAAAAGGACCTGATGCCTCCTCTGTTGCAGATCAGCATTGTGGAGCTGGAGAAGAGCCAGCGGCAGCAGGAACTCCTGCAGCTCAAGTCCTGCGTGCCACCCGATGACAGCCTGTCTGTGCACCTTCGAGGGAAGGGTAACCTGGGCCGGGAGCTGGAGACGGAGCCTGGCCGATTGCATCTAGAGCTCGACTGCACCAAGTTCTCCCTGCCTCCTTTCAACAGCATGAGCCCCGAGCTCTCCATGAACGGCCATGCAGCCAGCTATGACCTCTGCAGCTCACTGAGCCGGCCCTCATCCAAGCAAAACACCCCCCAGTATCTGGCCTCACCCTTGGACCAGGAAGTCGTGCCCTGTACCCCCAGCCACAGTGTTCGGCCGAGGCTCGAAAAGCTGTCCGGTCTGGCCTTGCCTGACTACACCCGGGTGTCCCCGGCCAAGCTGGTGCTGCGGCGACACCTGAGCCAGGACCACATGGCCAGTGGCAAGGTGACTACGGGCGAACTGCATCCTCGGTGAGTGCACCAGGTCTTTCAGTGGGAGCACATCAATTTGGAAGAGATTTGAGAGGTTTGGTAGGCCCAGGCCCCTGTACTTTGAAAGCCAAACTTCACTTCTTAGGGACTCTGCCCCAACAATGACCAAGAAATGTAATTCATTCCAGAGCTGAGCATGCCAAGGAGAACGGTCTCCCATACCAGAGCCCCGGCATGGCAAATGGCATCAAGCTGAGCCCGCAGGACCCGCGGCCCTCATCCCCCGTGTCCTTACAGATGGCAGGAGAGAAGGGCAGTGAGAAGGTGAGCAGAACTCCCAACCCTGTCCTCTCCCTAGACTGGGGGAGGCGCAGGTACAGTACTGAGCAAGCACGTGAGGAGACGGTGTCCAGGGAGGCCCAGTGTAGCCTGGAGGGCACATGAGGTAGAGGTAGGAGGAGCCACCAGGACCGGTGGAAGACACAGGACTCCCCATCCTGCGGAGATTAGGAGAGGTGCTGTGAGTTCTGAGCCCAGATAGGAGACCATTGCGGGAGAGAGGGGGTGGTTCCTCTCTGGTTCAAATGTGGCAGAGACATTGGGAGGTGAGGTGAGGACCTGCTAATCCAGTGGGGTCAGGAGCTGGGGCAGGTCATTTGGGGGTGGGGGCTGGGATGAGGGACCCTGTGCTTGTGGGGGGGGGGTGCTTGTGCCTGGGGACTGCAGGGCCATCTGGTGTGTCTTCAGGGTTTGAAGGAGCGCGCCTATGGCAGCAGTGGGGAGGCCATCACCAGCCTTCCCGTCAGCATCCCGCTCAGCACTGTGCAGCCCAGCAAGCTGCCTGTCAGCATTCCCCTGGCCAGCGTGGTGCTGCCCAGCAGAGTCGAAAAAGTGGTGAGTGTGAGCACCTGTCTGGTCTGCAGTCGGCCAGAACTTCGATTGAGAGTGTGTCCCAGAGCCACATGCAGGCAAGGGGAGTTTTCTTGTCTTTGTCCCTTACCCCAACAGACCTAGTTCTGTTGTATTGGTTTTTTTTTCCCTTCCCTTCATATCCATTATACGTCATTGACCCTTTCTGTCTCCCCACTCCCTTGTAACCTCTGTAACCTCGAAAATTTCATGTCATTTATTAGGTGTGCGCTAGTCAGTGGTGCGTGCTAGTCACTGCGAACATTTGGCTTTGTCCAGTCATCCCTTACGTCAGCGTCCATCAACATCTGTTCTGATGCGCTTTGCTAAACATAATCCCCCCAGTTCCTTCCATTTTGCTGTAAGTGGTAACATCTGTCTTACTTTACGGCTGGATAGTATGCGGTGTGTGGCTCTCCCACACCTACCCAGCCCTGCCCTCCGTCTAGGGGGCCTTTAGGCTGGTCCGTGGCCTTGCTATTGTAAAGAACGCTGCAGCAAACATCATGGAGCATAGATTTGTGTGAGCTGCTGTTTTCGTGTTCTTTGGATGGATGCCCAAGAGTGGGATTGCTGGAGTGTATGGAATTTCCATTTTTGGTTTTTTAAGGTACACCCAGATTGTGCTCCAAAAAGGCTGTCTCAGTTGACATTCCCACCAGCAGTGTGATAGGGTTACTGTTTCTCTATATCCTCTCCGTCGTGGGGGTCTTGCTTGTATGTGCCATTCTCAAGGGTGTTTTGTGACCATCGTTACGGTTTTTTGTGTAGAAGAACTAGGGTGCAGACCAGAGGTGCAGGGAGTGAGAGAACTCACCAGAAACAGAGTGGAGGGCAGAGCAGGCAGATCTGCTGGCAAGACACGAGAGGTTTGCTGCGCCATGTGGGTCAGCTCCCTGGCTAGGATCGAACTTGGGCCACCGCGGTGATAGCACTGAGACTTTCCCCCTAGGCCACCAGGGAGACCCACCATTATAATTTTGACCTGCATCTCCCTTATAAAGTCGATAATGAGCATTTTCTATGTGTCTGCTGACCTTCTAGATGTCTTTGGTGAATTGCCTATTCATATCTGTTACCCACTTATTAATTGGGAAGTCTGTTGTGTGCTAGTCTGGTAAGTGCTCTAGGGTGGAAAACTTCTGTGAGTGCTTAACTCTTGCCATTCCCATCTGGCCGTAAAGTTTCCATTGAAAAAATATGTAGACCGTCTGATTGGGACTCCCATCTGGGCTGCTCTTCTTCATCTCTATGCTTTTCCTGCTTTGTCCTTGTCTGGGCTTTCAGCCATTTATAATGTGTCTTGGAATATGTCTGCTTGGTATTATTTTGTCTGGAATTCTTTGAGCCCCCCTTTGGGGGCTCATATTCCAGTGTGTGGGTGGACAAGTTGTGTCCATCCACTCTCCCAGCTATGGACACTTGAGCAGTTTCCACTTTTTGGCAGTTGTGAGTTGTGTTCTCATGAGCATGTGGGGGGTTTTGCGTGGAAGTGCTGATTTTTCTCCAGTGTAGGAGTGGGCTTGCTGCATACACCATGAACACAATTCCTCGCCGCTCTCTGTCCCTTTTATCCGACTCCCCTATCTCTCATAGCTCATAGCTCAGGGTCCCTCTCTGGTCAGCTCACTGTGATTAAACCTGAACAAGTGGCCTCCCTGGTGGTACAGGCGGTTGAGCGCAGCGCTGTGAAGCTGTCCGCAGCCTCTGCAGGGCCGGTTTGATCCCCGCTGCCTCGGAGCACCCCACATGGCGAGCAGACCTCTCCTGTCTCGCCCGCTTCTCCCCTCAGCAGTGTATTTCATCAGTCTGCCTGTTCTGTTCCCCGCTCTGTCTCTGGTGAATCCTCTCACTCTCCCGTGCATCTGGCCTGTACCCCAGCTCTTGTATAAATAAAAAATAAATCTTTAAAAAAAAAAAAATAAACTTGAACAAGTCACTCCCCCTTGTTCTCTCTCTCCCCTTTTGAGCACTGACCTCACTTGCCTGCTGTGCTCCTTGCCTTTGCACATCTGTGGTTTGTGTCAGATCCTTGTAACTTGCACTGATGGCTGACTCCCCTGTGTTTTCTTACCACAGAGAAGCACTCCCAGCCCGGTGCCACAGACCCGGGAGGCCTCTTCCACACTAGACAAGCAGATGACTGCTAATGCCCACGGGGCTGGGAGTAAAAGCCTTGCCTCTGCTCCTTCAGGTAATATTCTTGTTCCCATACTCTCCCCACGGGTCAGCCTTCACACTGGTCCTCAGCCCTCCCAGACTGCCTCTGCCCTTTAAAACAAGACTGGCAGGGGTGCTCAGAGGCAACCTCACTGCAATGAGTGGGGTCTGAGCTGAGTCAGGGCTATCTGTCATCTGGCTGTTAGCAGCAGCACAGCCGGCCCTGGGCTGGGGCCTATGCTGGGCCCTCAGTGGATCTCCTGAATTTGCTGATGCTCTGCTGGCTGCGTTTCACCTTGAGGCTGCTGTGGCCTGTGAGCTGATGGTGTTCTTATTGCTCACTCAGCTCAAGGGATGGGGGCTTCTGAGGCCCAGCGTGCAGTGGTTTTAACACCTGATTTCTGGCAGATTCTGGTCCAATCCTTAACATGCTACATATGTTAACACTGGGCCTGCAGCCATTCTGTACAGGGCAGGGTACACTCAGTGGCTCTGAAGTCAATGGGGCCTGCCTTCCGGTTCCTTGGTGCCCTCTCCCGTCCTGGTGGATAGGTGGGCAGCTCTCACCCAGCAAGGTTGCCAAGGACCGGGCTTGGTTCTTTGGTGTGCCTGAGTGCTGGGAGCCAACCGCCAGATGTCAGGGCAGAACTGTGGAGCCTCCCAGCCCCATCTCCACTCAGTCCATTCCCCTTTGGGGTCCCAACCCAAAAGCAAGGCTGTGCTAAGATTCCTCACCCACCTCCTTAGGGGCAGTGTGATTCTTGCCCCCTGAGACACCTGTCTCCTTCCCGGCAGGCTTCTCCTATGCTGGCTCGGTGGCTATCAGCGGGGCCCTAGCAGGCAGCCCAGCACCACTGGCCTCGGGACCTGACCCTGCCACCTTTGACGAGTCCTCCAGCTCGGGAAGCCTTTTTGCCACCATGGGGTCCCGCAGCTCGACCCCACAGCACCCTCCGCTGCTGGTGCAATCCCGCAACTCCGGCTCAGCCTCGCCTGCCCACCAGCTATGCTCTAGTCCTCGGCTCAGTGGCACCGCTCAGGGCCTGCTTCCCGAGGCTAGTAAGGGAGACCTTCCCTCAGACGCCGGCTACTCAGACCCGGAGAGTGAAGCCAAGAGGAGGATTATCTTCACCATCTCGGCCGTTTCCAGTAGCGCCAAGCAGTCTCCCTCCAACAAGCACAGCCCCCTACCTTCGGGTGCCCGTGCAGACAGCGCACAGAGCCACGGGCAGGACAGCCGCAAGCGAGGCAGGAGGAAGCGGGCCTCAACTGGAACTCCCAGCCTGAGCTCGGGTGTGTCCCCAAAGCGCCGGGCTCTACCATCTGTCGCTGGCCTCTTCACGCAGTCATCAGGGTCGCCCCTTAACCTCAACTCCATGGTAAGGATAAGAAGGGATTGGGTGGGGCCTACAGCCCTGGCTGCTCTCTGGGCCCTGCCTTGAGGGGACTGTGGTGCAGTTAGGCATCTGGCTACGTGCCACCTTCTCACTCAGGCAGGGACCACCCAGAAGCACAGGGCATTCAGTGGGAGGCCAGCTCTGGGAGCCCTGGCCAAGCCCTTGTGTGCTGGTACCTCAGGAACTTATTGACAGGGTCTTCTGTCTGTGTTGCCCCTCAGGTCAACAACATCAACCAGCCCTTGGAGATCACGGCCATCTCGTCCCCTGAGAGCTCCCTGAAGAGCTCCCCAGTCCCTTACCAGGACAATGACCAGCCACCCGTGCTCAAGAAGGAGAAGCCACTGAGCCAGACCAATGGGGCACACTACTCTCCGCTGACCTCGGATGAGGAGCAGGGCTCCGAGGACGAACCGAGCAGCGCCAGGTGAATGGGGTGGGCATTCCCTGCATAGGAGAGGCCCCCGTGTCGGGCAGTTCCCCTGGGGGGCAGGGACGTGCAGCTTCCACCTGCCCAGCGGTTGCTGACCAGGCGATACCTGTCCTGGATGATCCATTCTCTGGATGCCCTGACCCACTATCCACATTAACCTCAGGGGGTGTCCTTGAGCAGACAGACAGTTAGTTGCCCCTGACCCACAAGGGACCGTCTGCCAGCCGTCCTCCACCTGAGAATTTATGTGTGGTTAGCGGCTCATTGTTTCCCATCCCCAGTGCTCCTCGGCCCCTATATAGAAGACATGGAGGGAGGATTGTTAACTTCAGCCAGAGAGGGCTAAGAAGGTGGTTTTCAGATTCTTTAAATGGCCATTTATTTTTTAAAGATTGATTTATTTATGCACACAAGAGCTGGGGTACAGGCCAGAGGCGCGGGGAGGTGAGAGGATTCACCAGAGACAGAGCGGGGAGCAGAACAGGCAGATTGACCTAAGTACACTGCTGAGGGGAGCAGCGGGGAGGCAGGAGAGGTCTGCTGCACCATGTGGGTTGCTCCCTGGCTAGGAATCGAACTCGTGCTGCAGAGGCTGCGAATTGCTTCATAGGTTGCGTCTTAACCCCTTGTGCTACCGGAGGCCCGGTTTTCAGATTCTTGCCAGCGCTTCATGTTTGATGTATTTGATTGTGAAGGGTTGTATTTAGTATTTGTTTTTCTGAAATGGCCTTGTTAGATAGAATTCACACCCCTACCATCCATTTGCACGTGCGATCCTATAGTGTTTGCTGTATTCACAGGGCTGTGAAAATGGCACCAATGTGGTATCTGAACATTTATATCACACCGAGAAGCAGCCCCTACCCCTTGCCAGTCATTCCTACTCCCCCCCACTGTCCAGTACCTCCATCAACCCCCTGTCTCTGTGGGTGTGACTCCGCCAGCGCCTCCTGTGAGTGGGTCACACAGCTTGTTCTTGTATCTGGCTGATGTCAGTGAGCCTCGTGTCCTCGGTCGATCAGGTTGCAGTGTGTGCCGGAGTGTCCTTGGCACGGCTGTGCGATGTCCAGGGTGTGGACGGATATGTGTGTCTGTTCATTGTCTCGGGATACTTGGGTCGTTTCCAGTCTCTAGCTCCTGTGACTCACACTGCTGTGAATGGTCATATACGTGTTTTCTTTGAAAATAGGTTTTCAGTTTACTCAGCACAGAGGAATGGAGTTGCTGGGTCACACGGTGACTCTGTGAGTAACTCTTTGCAGCACCTCCATCCCATTTCCACAGTGGTCACCCTGTTTCTCATTCCCATCAGCCAGGCCTCCTCAACAAAACTTGTTATTTTCAGCATGTTTTTTTTTTAATACAGTTGTCATTCTAATGGAGGTAGCGCTGCGGTTTTGTGTTCCCTCTTCCTGATGGTTTGCCTCACGTGCCGGGGGCCTGTGTGGTGTCTTCTTTCGAGAAATGTTCCCTTGGGGGTCTTTGCCCATTGTTTAATTGGGTCATCTTTTTGTTGCTAAATTACAAGAGTTGTTTATATAATCTGCGTACAAGACTCTTATCGATACCTGCAAATACTTCCCATGGTATCGTTTTCTTCCTGGCATCCTTTGACCCGCAAAGTTTTAAAATTCTGATGAAGTACCATGTTTGCTTTTGGTGTCATGTCTGTTATTTGTTCCTCTTTCATCTATGTAAGTTACGTTTAAATTTAAGAGTTTTTGCACATGGGTGCTGTTCTCTGAGTTGGATATGCCCAGCCGAGCAGTGCCTAGCTTGTCCTGGGAGTTAGTCTGTGTCCCTGGAGGGCATAGTGTTCCTTGGGGTAGCCACAGACTATTGACACATAAAATACAGTTTTATAAATTGGTGCTGCTGCAAATACAAGGGCAGTCTGCTGGGGGACTGTGAGCCGGACCGCTGCCTGTGGGCCAGTGGTGTGAGGCAGCATGCTGGCAGACACCGGAGGGAGCAGCCAGCGCGCATGCTTGTGGGCCCATGTGTCTGCGTGCTGGGCAGTGGCTTGCGGCTCCTCTTCTCGGCCTACTCTCCTCCCCGTCCTTGCAATGGGCAGTGCCATGCTTGGTGGTCATGGCTCCTCCTCCAAGGAAGGCGCCCTTCTCAGGGGAGGCAGGCTGTGTCGCCCACTCCCTAGCTTCCCTGCAATTCCTTGTCCGTATTCCTGCAGCTGTTCTGCATGCATATGAGTTTCATCCTTTTTTTTTTCCTTGATAGAATTGAGAGAAAAATTGCAACAATCTCCTTAGAAAGCAAATCTCCTCCAAAAACCTTAGAAAATGGTAAGTGCTACGTTCCCTGTCACTTCTCTCCCGGGTGAGAGGTGGGGTGATGTGGCCTGATTCCCAACCTGTGAGGAAATACGGCTGGACTTCCAGGATTGTCTCCCGTGATGTTAGTGCCACCTAGGGCCTTGTTGCCCATTCTCCCCTAACAGGCACTCCTGGGGAACAGGTGGGGGCTTCTGTGCACCACATGCCTTCCCAAACGTCACCAGCTCAGGAGCAGCTCTGTTCTCCCAAAAGAACCACGCGTGGGCAGGTTTACTCCTGCCCCTATGGGGGTCTGATTTCATTTGGCTCTGCCCCAGACCCCCTCAGGGATCTCACTCTGCATCTGCTGTTGCTCAGACTCTCAGGGGCCCCGGCCTTCACTTTCTGCCTTTCTCTGTCAGGTGGCAGCGTGGTGGGCAGGAAGCTGATGCCTGCCAGTGAGCCCGTCAACAGCAGCAAGTGGAAGTCCACCTTCTCGCCAATCTCCGACATTGGACTGGCCAAGTCTGCGGACAGCCCACTGCAGGCCAGCTCCACACTGAGCCAGGGCTCCCTGTTCGCTTTCCGGCCCACCATGGAGGAACCCAGCCCGACGGACACCAAGCTCGCCAGTCACCCCAGGAAAAGCTTTTCTGGCCCCTTGTCGGCTGGTGGGCTCAGCCCAAGCAACAACCCTCCCAACGGCTTTGCCTTCAGTGGGGGCCTGGCCGCTGACCTCAGTTTACACAGCTTCAACGATGGTGCTTCTCTCTCCCACAAGGGCCCTGAGGCAGCCAGCCTGAGTGCCCCCCTGAGCTTCCCTACCCCTCGCAGCAAGGAGGGCAGCACCTCGGAGCCTGGCCCCTTTCTGAACAAGAGGCAGATGGATGGACTGGGCGTCCCAAAAGGCGAGGGGGGCAAGGGCAAGGAGGTGACTGAGCCGGGTCTGCCCCCATGTGGGCCCCTGGAGAAAGCCTCCCTGGCGCACAGTGTCAAGGCTGGCCGGGGCAGGGACCGAGAACCTGACTTCAAGAGCGGTCACAACCTTTTCATCTCTGCAGCTGCTGTGCCCCCTGGGGGCCTGCTCAGTGGCCCTGGCCTCACCACGGTGGCATCTTCTGTGGGTAGTACGGCGCCCTCCGCCCAGACGCACCGCCCCTTCCTGGGCACCTTTGCCCCCGGCCCACAGTTCACGCTGGGCCCCATGTCCCTGCAGGCCAACCTGGGCTCATCAGTGCTACAGTCCTTGTTCAGCTCCGTGCCGGCTGCTGCTGGCCTGGTGCATGTCTCATCCGCTGCAACCAGACTGACCAACTCGCACGCCATGGGCAGCTTCTCTTCCGGGGTGGCCGGTGGCGCAGTTGGAGGTAGGCAGGCGCGAGTCTCTTCTCTGACTCGCAGGCCCCGGGTCCCTGAGGCCTGTGTTGGGGTCTGGGGCGTGGTGCCACATGCCGCCGCCGCCCTCCTGGATGCCGGGTTACTCAGGACTGCCTTACAGGTTCCCTTTCGGAGCCCCTATGGGCCAGGCTGTGCTCACACGTCCCTTTGTGTCCACTTGGCACCCCACCTTGTTCCTTCTCACAAGATGCAGTCGTAGCGGGTATGGGCAGAGTGCTCATGTGTGAGTCGCCTTTGGGGGCTCTCTGGTTGTGATGGCGTCTGTCTCACCTTCAGAAGAGCCCATCCTGATCAGGGCCTGCCTTCCTCCCCGTGGAGGTCACCTGTCAGAGACCAGCCATGGGCTCCTGGGCAGGCTGTGGGGCTGAGCTGGGGAAGTGCTGGGCACAAACGCCCACGGCAGGTGGCGGCTCCAAAGTAGCGTGGAAAGGCGTCATGGGGCCAGACCTGGCTGGGCCTCTGCAGGGTCCCTGACCTCTGCAGCCAGCAGCTTGCTGGACGTGGGCAGCCAGGACTCTGGCAGGCGTGCCTCGGGTGGGGGTTCTGGCCCTGGGCCCATCCCGCAGGTGAGTGTTAACCTGGCTGCCTGAGCTCCCGCTGCTTGCTGCTTCGTTCTCGCACCTGCCGCGCACGTGGAGCTTCAGCTGCTGTCTGCTTCCCCTCGTGTGTGCGCGTGCGCGTGCTTCTTATCACTTGCTGGAGAATGCCCACCTGTTGAAGCTGAGTTTTTCTCTCCTGTTTGCAGGTGTCTTTAACCACGCGGTGCCTTCCGCCTCCTCTCATCTGTTTGGAGCCAGTTTCGGCAGCGGGGCTGCATGTCGCAGCGCCACGCTGAGCTTAACCCCGCTGCAGGCGGTGGCCGGCACCCCCGCCTCTTCCTTTCAGGGCCCGTCCTCTGCAGAGACGAGGCCACCCCCACCCCCGCCTGCTCAGCACCTGGGCCGACCCCCTCCGGGGCAGCCCACCCTCCACGCACCCCCCCCACCTAACGCTGCCTTGCCTCCTCCCCCCGCGCTGCTCGCGTCTAACTCTGAGCCCGTGCTTCTGCAGAGCCTAGCGTCCATCCCGGCTAACAAAACTTTCTTACCCGCCTCTTCTGCTGCCTCTCTCCAGCCTGCTAACGCCTCTTTGTCCATCAAGCTCGCCTCCCTCCCGCACAAGGTGTCCCACCCCTCCTTCACGGTGCACCACCAACCACTGCCTGGGCTCACCCTGGCGCAGGCCGCGCCCGTGATCCCGCAGGCCAGCTCCACAGGGCCGTCCGCTGTGTGGGTTTCCCTTGGCATGCCGCCTCCGTATGCCACGCGCCTTGCGGGGGTTAAGCCACGATAAAGACCTTGCTTAGCTAGCAGTTCGTATTCTGTAAGGTAAGGCTAGAGACCAACCAGGGGTCCCTGCAAGAACTGAACTGCCTTCCTTTGCAGAGGACAGACGGGCACAGGACTTTTCGAGGGCAGGGGGTCAGGAAATGGGATAGGAGGACGGTGGAGGCAGCTGGTACTGAGAGGCAGAGTGAAAAAGCCCAGGGCGGTGAGGGGAGCCCTGGGCTGCTGTGAGAAGGGACTGCTGCCATGCACCAGCAGGGTCCTGAGAGGGTAGCCAGCCTCTTTGCTGCGTGGACCTTCACACCAGGCCCCCAGGGACATGCACACCTGCTCTATGGGTGCTGGTGGCCACATTAAACACCGGGGACAGACCAGGAGATGCTGATGAGGCCCATCGAGGCCAGCTTGTGGCCACCCTCTGGCTGTGTCCGCAGTGGTGGTGACCTGGACACCACGGCATGGAGCCATCTGGGACAGCCTGTGTTGTGGTTAGTCTCTCTGGGGTGTCTCTCAGTCTGTTTGCTCAAATGCACCTTGTACGGTTGTAGAATTTTATTGTGGCTGAGGCGCTGGGTTGGTAGACAGCTTTTGAAAGATGGGGTTGTCCATCTTTGGATTCCTTAGCTAGAGGTCCCACCTGCCAGCGCTAACCCACGCACACCAGGAGCTGACCGCAGAGCAGGGACTGCCTTCACCAGCAGGCACAGGCTTCGTAGTTGTGGCCACAGCTCAGCTCCTCTGACCTTCAAGGAACCTGACAGTACTTCAGCCAGTCACCCAGACCACTGAGAGCTCACAGCTACTGCCATCCTTGCCAGCGGAGAGCAGTGTAGGAGGTGCCCACCCGTGGGGCCTGTACAAGAAAGTGACTGTGAAGCCTTCAGGGAGGGTCCCTGTCTGCTCCTCCACTGGTGGGATACAGTATTAGAGGGCTAACCCCTGCCACTCCCTCAGCCCAGGAGCTGGGCTGGTGCTCTGTGCTGGGCACACCACCCGCCACTCTGCCCTTCCAACTTGGTCTCCCAGGGCAAAGAGCCTTCCTGGGCATGTCCACGGCTCACAGGGCAAGGACCCGAAGAACAGAAGGTGGACCTGTGCTAATGGACACGGGCCAGGTGTGGGGCCACCCTGCTGCCACATGTTGTGGCGGAAAGAAGACAGGCGGCCACGGGAGCTGTCAGGGCCTCGTCGGGTGCTGGTCAGCAGCTAGCCGTGCCAGTGGAAGTGTCCACAGTGGACACCCTCCTGTCCCGTCTCGGGGCCCATCGCAGGGAGCTAGCTTACGACTGGCAGCACTGGCCTATCCACCATAAGCAGCACCTGGCAGGTGGTGACTTGAGAGTCCAGACCCTGTGCCCCTCATGCTAGCCAGGGCCTCCTGGTGGGACTTCTGCTCCTTGGCTGGACCCAGGGCACGACACGCGGTCCGCCAGGAGAGGTGGTCCTTTGACAACTGTTCCATCTGTCTGTCACATGTCTGTAGGAGGCTTTGGTTCCCTGACCTGGGGAAATGTTTGGGCGTCTCCAAGTGAAAGCCTGACACTGTGCTGTCTTCCCTCCTGCACTGTCTCTGCAGGTAACTAGGATTTCTACCTCAACCATGAGACCTATGCAAGGATGGGGCTCACCGCTGGACGGGGACAGACAGGACAGAAGACGAGGTTCTACTGTGAATCAGCGCTGGCAGACCTGCGGTGCTGGGGCTTGGCTCCAGCTCCTGCTGTCGATAGTTTTAGATAAAGTATTTATCGTTTTTAAAAAAGTATAAACAATTTTGACTTATTTTATTCCACTGAAGTTGTAAAAGGCAACTATTGAGAAATGTACATACCTATATCTGAGAGGATCTATATACAGATGTCTATGGGAAGGACTGGCCACCGCGGAGATGCCGACGCTGGTCCTGGTGCTATCTGGTCGCCCGCCCGCCCACCTCCACGTTCTCCTGGTGCTGACTCTCCAGGTGACCAACGCCAAAACCAGTCCTCGGCAGCACCTGCCCTACTCACCCCCGCCGCTCTTCCTATACCAAAGGCTCCTGCTCCAGGTTGAGGGCAGTTTGCTATCTTGTGAAGTGGTGTTCCCAGAGAAGGCCCTCTCCCAGGAGGTGCACCCACAGTCCTGCCCATCGCTGTGAGACCGGGGGCCCTGCATCGGGTCTTTGGCCTTGGAGCTGATGGGCGGGTTGGGGGTGGGGGACAGGGACAGTCAGCCTTTCCAATCCATGTGGCAGGGCTGCAGGTGTGTTCCAAAAGGGGACCGTTCCCAGTGGTGCTTGTGGGAAGATGTGGCTGGCCGTGTAATAAGTGCATTTACTTTGTACGTCTGTGCTCGTGTGGGCCTCCTTCTGAGTCCACCATGGCATGTCCAGTCATGGGGCAGGTCAGCCTGGTGCCTGGTGTCTGTACAGAAGAGTCATGCTGAGGGTGACAGTATTTTATAGAGATGTGATGAAAATTTATAAATTTCATAGACTTGACTTCATTTATTTTTAGATGGTATAATGCACAGTAAACTTAAAAAAAAGGAAGAAAAAAGTAAAGGGGGACCTTTTTATTTATTTAAATGCACACAGTGGCACTGGCTCAGGCCAGCTGCAGCCCCAACCCCAGAGGGGCATGCCTGCCTCCCCACAGGCAGCCTCCGTGGTGCATGAGACCCAGTGCACTGATGGCGAGAGGGCTCGTGGTCAGGGCTTCTGACATGTAGAGCTGTTCCAGATGCTTCTAAAGGTGGCTAGCAGGGTTCTCAGGGCCCTTCAGGGCAGCCATCTGTGATGGTTCCTGGGTCCCAAGCTTTTAAGGACATGTCCAGAAGCCCCCAAGCCCCCCGAAACAGGCCATTACTGGCCAAAGACCCTGGCAGGGGTGCCAACCCCAAGGTGGCAGGGTGCAGCTGGAGACCCACTCAGGTGCTGGCCCCCTTGGCACCCACTAAGGAGCACTCGGAGTGGGGCTGTGTGTGTAGGGGTTGAATTTTGTCACTAAAGGGAAAGCTGGTCAACATGGCCCCATCCCCCAGTGGAGGCCAGGTGCTCCTGCCTGGCCCCACTGTATGCTGACCCTCAGGGCAGGCTCCTGCCCTCCCACCACTGTGCAGAGCAGGCCTCCCCTGGCCGGGGTCAGTAGGTTTGCTGGAGTTCTAGTTCCCATTGGGCAAGGGGCCTGAAATAGGCCTGCTTCCCCTGGGGTGTACCCCAACCAGAGCAATACTGGAGGCTGAAGATGGTGCTTAGGACGAGTTTCTAGACCCGGCCCGTCCTCTTGTAACCAGCTGCCCTGCTCCCTTCCGTCCTGGGCGGTGCTGTTGGCAGCGCCAAGGTGCTGTGCCCACCCTATGAACCTTGTGCCCTCCCCTCCAGCCCTCGGGCCCCTCTTTGGCACCAGAAGCCAGGGCTCTAGAAAGCTGCAGGGCTCACTGTAGAGAAGTCAGAACGAGGAGTCCCTGATCTAGAACAAAGTGGCCCTTTACACAACGTTGTATTGCTTCGGGTTGCCACCCCAAGGGATGGGGTAGGGGCGATAGGGTGACCGTGTGGGACTTCCTACTGACGTGCCATAATTATCTTCCTATACAACTGTCTGCACGTGCACCCGAGCTTTGGGGTTCAGAGCAGCACTTACTCGGGATGTGCCCAACTACAGGCTGAGCTGGGTCCCCAGCTGTCAGCATGGGAGTGTCCTGCACCACAGGTGGCTGGAGGAGGTGTGGGTCACACTGGCGCTGACCCTCTAGTCCTCTGGGGGCCCTAGGCCTTGCCAGACATGTAAGCTAAGGCCTGTTGGCAGGCCAGCTGTGGGAGGGTTGACAAGATGCTGGTTCCCTCTGGCAGCTCCAGGCTGACTGGTGGTGCTGTTAACCGTGGGCACGTCAGGGAAGTCTAGCGGGCCTGGGATTAACTTTGCTCAGGAAAACTGTGACAACAAAGTGGCCCACTGGGAAGTGGGCTCAAGGACCCTCCTGGCCAGGAGGAGTTAGCCTTCCTTCTAAGTTATGAATTGTGACTTAATTGAGACACCCTCGCCTTTATCTCCCCGCGCTGCCCATTGTAGGAAGTGTCCACTTCTCACCCCGATCTCAACCACCCTGCCATTTCCGTTCACAATTCACCCAAGCTTGGCCTGTTTCTCTTATCTCCACCGTGATGTAACCTGAGGCTTGGCTCTGTCTGTGTGGTAAACTGTTCAGCACAGCTGAGGGCACTGGCATGCCCAACTCTCTAGGCTGCTGGCATGACCCTCACTCCCAAAGGTTATCCCACTGCATTCTGCATTTCCACCTTTAGACGCTGTAATAAAATGTTTTCACTTGAACTTTGTCTGAATGTGGTATTTCCCTCAATTACGACATGGTGAGGTCTGAAGAGGGCCCAAAGAAGACCAGGTTGAACTCAACTGTGCCCTGGGTTGGGGAGGACAGCAGTCACTCCCAGACGGTAGCTATGAACAGGGAGGCCCTGCCGCTCCATAAGAGCTTGACCAGATGAGGACCCCAAAAGGGCCACCAACTAATATGGGCCATCACGGGGTCCTGTCTTCAATCAGGGAGGCCCATAAACCAGGGCGGGTCAAGGGGTCCTCTTGGGTGAGTGCCACACCCACAGCTGCATCTCCTTCAGGGCCAGGGGTCTTACTCCCTGGTTTTCCAGCTTATACCTCTAAACCCCATCTTCTCTCCCTATGCTGGTGGCCCAGCCCTTTCTGCCCAGGTATTTAAACCATGACCCTGTAGGGGACCTTTGTCCCCTGTCACCCTCACTTCCCCCCTGGAGCCTGCAAAGGACACCTGTCCTTGCTGCATGCAGTGTACACCATTCTATGTGGAAAAGAGGTACCTTTATTTGAACAGAGCAAGAAGCACAAGGCACCTGGCCAGGACCTGCGCATCAGCAGAATTCACAGCGGCCTGATGAGACAGACAGGCCCCCACACTTTCACAGCATCATTTAGCTTCATACATTCAGTTTGTGAGCTGCCCAGGGCACCTGCCAGGCCCTGAATGGACATGACTGGGGGGGGGGGGTCCCTAGGCAGCAGCACATGGCATGGGGGGATTGCCAGTCAGGCCAGTCCAGTGGGCCCCCAAGCAGGGGAGGGAGGCTGGATTCTTCACCTAGTCCTGAGCTTTTGATTTTGAAGTCTTTTAAGTCATAACAACTGCAAATGCAGGCTTGACCAGAAAACCCAGGGTCTGGCAAAAGCAGGCCAGGCTGGTTCTAGCCCCAGAGAAGGATTCAGGCTTTCAACCCACTCAGCTGGAACCTGGCCTCCTCAGATATGCCAAACTGCTCCAGAGGGTCCTGTGTGGGTACACAGAGGGTGAGCCCAGAGCCCCGAGGCCCACACCGCCCCGTCTCTCAGGACCCAGTACGCACCTTGCCAGTCATCTTCTGGATCTCATTCCTGTAGAAGATGAGACTCCTCCGCATGAACTCATAGCTGGGGAGGGAAGCAAACTTTGTTCACAGGGCTCTGCTCTATTCCTGCCCCCGGCCCTAAGGGTCAACCCGGCCCCACCTGGCTTGCCGCAAGGCCCCCATCCACTCCTGACATTGCTCCTCATTGCAGCATTCAAAGTGATACTTCCTGTCAGGGTTCTCCACGAAGCCTGCAGAAGGAGCACCCATTAGTCCTCACTCTCCCATCCCACCAGCCACAGGTCTGTTTCCTGTGGCCAGTGTCCGTAAGAGTCCCCTCCTCTTGCAATGGCCCAGGCTGTGGGTTGAACTTTGTGCCCCTAAAGGATATGTTCACAATGCAGAAATTTGATTTAAAAAATAAAAGCAAAAAGAACGTGTTCAAGTCCTAATCCCTGGGACCTGGGAATGTGACACTATTTCCTATTTGGAAACAGGATCACTGCAGATGTAATTAAAGGGAGGTTACATTGGAGTGGGGAGGCCCTAATCCAGCAGGATGTGTATCCTCACAAAAAGGCCCGGTCTGGACACATACAGAAAACCCCAACTGACAGCAGAGGCAGAGATCAGGGAGTTTCTATAAGCCAAGGATTGCCACTGAGCCCCAGAAGCTGGGAGAGACGTGGGGTTCTCCCTCAGAAGAGAACCAGCCTTACTGGCACGCTCGCTGCTTTTGGACTCCAGACTGGAAGAGGATACATTTCTGCTCCCCGCCCCAGTACAGGAGCAGAGCTCACTGGTCTTTCCCCGCGGGCTCATCCCTCACAGAGTCGGGGGAACACAGGCCGGGCGGCGAGGAAGGATTATGAAAGGATTATGAAAGCAAGGCGCCCTGAAACCGCGCGCCGAGCAAAAAAAGCCGTGGGGCGTTTGGGTGGTGCCAGGAAGAGGCCCCGGGGAGGTGCGCACGGCCGGGCCCCAGGCACAGGAGCCGCGCCCGAGGGGGGCCGCCTGCGGGGCAGGGTGAGCGCAGGAGCAGGAGGCCGGGCAGGGGCGGGGCGGGCGAGGGGACCCACTCACTGATGGAGAAGCCGCAGGGCTCTTCCTGGGTGACTCTGCAGTGCTCCAGCAGAAGGGCTCCGACGGGCTGGGGGCACACGGGGTCGCATGGGGAGGCGTGGGGGCGGGCCAGGCCCTCCCGGGCGCGGCCTACGCGCCGACCCGGCCCCGCCCGCCCCGCCGCCCTACCTCGGCCTCGTCCGTCCGGAAGTAGAAGAGGAAATTGACCACCAGCTTCACCAGCCGCCGCTTCACCACTGCGGGCACAGTGCGGGCTCGCGCGGGCTCGGCGGCGGCCCCCAGTCCGGCCCGGCCCCGACCCCCGCCCCCCTCGCCGCCCGGCCTCGCCCCGCTCACCGCTGCCCTTCTTGGGGCCCCGCATGCCCAGCTCGGCTGCCAGCTCGGCCGGCTGCCGGGACAGCGCCTGCAGCTCCTTCTCGTTGTAGCGCATAGTGCCGCCGGGCACGACGGCGACGGCGCGAACGCGAGAGCCTCCCGGCTGCCGTCCCCGCTCGCGCCGCCGTCGGCGCCAAAAAAGTCGCAGGCGCGGTGGCGGAAGCGTTGACGGCGATACTGCGCCTGCGTGCGCCCAGGCCCCTGCGCCTGTCAATCATCGGCCGTGGCGCTGACAACCCGGGGGCCCCCGCGCCCGGCGGAGGCTTCATGGGGTTCACGGACTAGCAGCGAGGTGGATTGTTTTATCATTCACGGATGAAGTAAATTAAGCTAGGGTGGAAACAGAAAGTGCCCCCACGCTCTTTTACTGATGCCGACAGGAGCCCGCTGAGCTCAAAGAAATGCGGCCCGCCCTCCCGCGAGAACTGGCTACGCCCGAGCTGGACCCCGCAGGGGAGGCCAAGGACAACCTGGCGCGCACGCGCACGTCGCCTTCCGGGCCGCGTCAGCCCCGGCCCCTTTCCCTTCCCTTGAAGCTGCGGGCGACGCTGGCCGCGCCGGGCATGCGCAAGAGAGAAGTCCCGCCCTATTTGCCCTCGGAAGTGCTTCCTTTGCTCGCAGCGCGCATGCGCGGAGCGAAGTCGTGGCGGCAACTGGAAAAAACGACAGCGGCGCGGGCCTCGGCGCGGGTGAGGTGCGACGCGGGGCGGGGGTGCTGGGCCGCGGCGCCCAGGGTCCCTGGCTGGGAGGCGGACGTGGGCTGGAGGCGCGGACGCAAGAGTGGCGGCCGCGGCTCCCGACTCCTCCGGCTCCCTCAGAATTCTTCCCCCAGCGCCCGTGGGGGCGGGGGGCGTCGGTGGTCGCCGCTCACGTGCTCCCGGAGGCCTTTGTGCGACCGGGACTCCTCGGAGCGGGTGACGGACCGGCTCGGGCCGCGGGCGGTCGCTGGAGCCGGACCGAGTCCTGCGGGCAGTGGTCAGCACCGCTTCCCGGGCGGCAGAGTCAGGACTCGCTTCGTTTTGCAGGCGAGGCCCGCCCGTCGGACTCGGATGCGCCGCAGCTTCTCTCTGCCCCCGGCAGCGCGGAACCGAGAGGGGCTCTGATGACCCCGTGCTTGCCGGATTTGAGGGCCTAGTGTCCCGGCCCAGGGAGGGGTGTCCCTTGGCGTGCTGGCTATTCTAAATGGAAAGCAGCTAAGAAACAGATCCAAGAATGATGCTTTGCCCAAGTGTCCATCTCCCTAAAAGCTGCAAATAATTTTCTCTCCTCCTGGCGGTGAGAGACAACCTCATCACCCTGGGCTAGAGTTTCCGAGGTCTGGCTGCAAAACTTTCTCTTTAAGTTGCAGCGTTTCTTTTGTTACATTTTTCCCCTCCCGAATGTATTACCCCCATTCTAAAAACTATACAGCCGTCCTGCCCACCTCATTAAATTTGTCATTTCTCATGCTCATCTCACTTGTGTCAGTTTATTATCAGGCCAGCCTAAAGCAAAGAGGGTGAGGGGGGAATCATCCCAGATTTTCCCTCCAGTGGTCTGTTCCCCCAAATCCTCCATCCCTGCTCACATTCTTCCCCAGAGCCCACCACCTCTTCTTAGTTCTGCAAGGCAGTTTTTACCTTAGTAGACAACTTTTTGGGGATGTGTGACTTTTAGACTTGATAGGCTAACCTTTACTGTGATTGGTGAGGTCTTAGTTCTGCCTCCCTTCCACCCACCTACCCCATCTTCTCTCTGCTACCCTGAGAGTTTTTAATCTCATCATCTTAGTCAGATAGGAGTCCTATTTTGAGGCTTAAAACCTTGTAAATAAAGCATTCATCTGTGCTACTTTTTTTGTATATTATTTTCTCCTCTAGGGTAAATTTAATTTCCCTTTTGTCCATTAGCTGTTAATTTTCCCTTGACGCTCCAACAACTCACACGCCTACAGATTGTATTTTCTCACAGATTTAAAAGTGTGGCTTTTCTTAACCTTTCTATTGCTTCTCTGGAAGGCCACCCAATTCTGGTTTTTCTTTCTGTCTAGTAGAAATTTAAGCTCTTCCTGGATGTCATTAAAATTTTACAGTTTGTTTAAAGTTTTGGGGGTGAAGAGTTAGGTCCTCTCTGCCCTGACATGTTTTCTTTTATCTCTTTGATAATGTTCCTTTTACCCCATGCTACATGTTTTCCCTGTTTTTGGAATTGCATCCGCTTCTTACTTTGCTTTCTGTTTTTTCATCTTTTTTTTCCATGAAAGATTGGACTCTTATCTCTGAAGTTGCATTCAGTTATTTGCTTGAATCATCACATCTTTCTTTTCTTTTCTTTTCTAAGACTTATTTATACAAGAGCTGGGGTACAGGCCAGACGTGCGGGAGGGTGAGAGGATTCACCAGAGACAGAGTGGGGAACAGAACAGGCTGACTGACGAAATACACTGCTGAGGGGAGCAGCGGGCGAGACAGGAGAGGTCTGCTGCGCCCCATGTGGGATTCTCGCTGGCTGGCCGGGATGGAACCCACGTTGCAGAGGCTGTGGAGAACTTCACAGTCTGGCTCAATCGCCTGCACCACCAGGGAGACCCCACATCTTTCTTTTCTAAGGTTTTGTTTTTATTCACCTTCTTAACATTTGGCATCCTATTCTGGTTGCAAGGTACGTTGATTTCTTCAGTTAGTAAGGAGAACTTTAACGTCTTCCATGGAGGTTTCTGTTGGCTGTGTTTTTTTCTGGGATACGTGGTGATTCTTTGCATTTGTATGTGCTTAGTGGCCAGCCCTGCGTGTGAGACTGTGCTCCTCATGAGTGAGTCTAGCAAGTTTTCTTTAAGTTGTGGGGAACCCCTGCTGTAAGTGTCTAAGAAACTTTCTCTGTCATTCTCTCCAGACAAGCCTGCTTCCCCTGGTCTGGGCTGCCTTCTGTGTGTGACGTAGGGGAAGGGATAGCCTACTGTGCAGTAGGCAGGTTTTAATGGAATCCCCCTCTTCTCTGCTTTTTCACCCCACTGTGCCTGTCTCTCTAAGCATTTCTGAGAATGAAATTCTGATGAGTAAGCACTCATCTCATTGGGGTGGGAGGCAGTGCTTTACTGGGGGGATAGGGGACAGTGTTCAATGGACTATACGTAAGCAACAGTGTTGGTTCTGTTTTGTTCTCATTTGGGGAGCAGGTCAATATTTGTTTATGCTTCCTTGAGCCAATTAGGTTCTGTTAGTGGTTGCTCTTGCTCTTTGAGACTCCAATGGCATGGAGTCTCCCAGCCATCCAGGAAGTGACCTAGGAGCTCATTCTGGCCATTTAAGAAGGAGCAGGTCATCCCCAAACTCTTTGGAATTCTTGATTCTTAATGTGTTTCCTGAATCACTTTTCTAGTTCTGTTGGCCCATAGAATGTTCTGGAAATGTCACAGGAAGTAAGGACATCAGCATGGATTGGTGGTACTCTTCTGGCCCCAGACTTTCTGCCACTTTCACAGAGGAACAGGGCACAGGTCCCTCCTGAGCTGCAGCCCTCGTTTTGGATAATGCTTGTGGTCTTTGGGGTTTTTGATAATGGCCATCCTAAATGGGGTGAGGTGATATTTCACCACGATTTTCATTCAGTGCACTGATGATTAGTGATGTTGAGTACATATTCACTACAATAAGTCCTCACTCAGTGTCTTTAGTTCCTGGGAACTGGAATGTGGAATGAAACTAGAAACCAGCTCCTTAAATAATGGTTCATTTAACATCAGCTGGGATTCTTTTTTTCTCATTGGCGTTATGAAGAAATGCTGTTGAGCAGAGTTAACTGAGGCGCCGAGGTACCTGTCAGCTAGCTGCTGGGTCAGCACCCGCTTAGTTTTCAGTGTTTTGGTCAGTGGCTCCTTTGGTGGTCTGGGAAGGAACTGTCCTCTCCCACAGGGAGGCCTGTGACTGACTCGGGGATGCTGACTCCTGGGATCCTGGCTCCATGCTGTTGTAGAAGCTGGAGGACGGCTGTACTCCGTTCGAGTTTCACATCATTCACCAGCAGTGCAGGGGCTGCTGCAGGGAAAGTTGGACACTTCACTGGCAGTGTAGGCCACATGCATCTGTGGCCACTGAAGGCAGGGCCTCGCCTCAGGATCTGCTGAGGACGCTCGCAGTGAGAATCACTGTTCTGAGCAACTGCAGTTGGGCCCCCTTAGGCGATTGGTACAGTTTCCCCGGGACCCATTGGATCTGGCCAGGCGGCAGGACACAGGAGCAGAATGTGCTTGCCTTTCTGGCAAAGGATGGTTTCCCTGCTGTCCTGCCTCTTCTAGTCTCAGTAAGACATTCTTTTTCTAGTTTGTCTTACAAAGTGATGGCAGTAGTTGACCCCGGTGGTCTTTCATATTTTGCCTGACAACACCAAAAAGCTGGTAGCTCTAGATGAACTCACGTGAAATAGTTCTTACCTCTAAGGGGAGTGACCCTCTGGTTCTGTAGCTAGCAGTTTGTTGATTACCAGAAATGGGATCCTCACAAGCATGTCCTGAGTTTCGTTTGTATATTAAGTAGTCGGGACTCTAACATAGATGTCTTCCTGGCTTCCCACAAGTTTACAGCTCAGCCAGAGAAGTAGAATTGAGGCTGGGAGAAGAGACTCAAATCTGTGGGATGGGGCAGTCTGGGAAGACTTCCTGGAGGAGGTGCAACTTTTTATAGCTCTTTTTCATTGCTGTTATATAATGAGTCTCTGAGCCTTTGTGCACCTCCAGCTGGAGTGATTTCTTCTCCAGTCCACCCCAGGGTCATCAGACACTTGTCCTTGTTTGTTAGACTCGTACGATTGGGGGTGAGAGGCTGACATGAGAGAGGGCATTTCTTCCCACCTACCCTTCCCCCGTCACCAGATCCAGGCAAGCCTCATCGACAGCCACCACATCATCACGAACTCCCCTTTACCTCCACAGATTTCTCACCACATCCAGTAAAGCCCCAAGACCGTCACCATGGACTTCCAGCATCGCCCTGGGGGCAAGACCGGGAGTGGGGGGGTGGCCTCCTCCTCTGAGAGCAACCGGGACCGCAGGGAGCGGCTCCGTCAGCTGGCCCTAGAGACCATCGACATCAATAAGGTAGGCCAAGGGGGCCCCTTATAGATACCCTGCTTGACAGCCACAGATGTTCCCAGTCACCCTTGTGTTCCCGG